TGTAAAATTAGGGGGTCGTCTTATACACTGGAAAATATAGTTCCTTCCTCCATAATGGACTGGGAGTTGTTTGAGGCAATCTGATCAAAATTATTTGTTTTGTTTTTATTTTTTTTTAATCAAACAGGCAATTATGACATTACAGGATGGTGTTTTTGTTGTTGTTGTAAAGATAAGTTTATACAATCTAAGTAGCCTAACAAAAGTTCCTTACATGGCGTTTTATGTTCTGCATTTTTAAAAAAATATATATTTTATTGATTTTTTACAGAGAGGAAGAGAGAGGGGGATAGAGAGTTAGAAACATCGATGAGAGAGAAAAACATCGATCAGCTGCCTCTTGCACATCCCCCACTGGGGATGTGTCCACAACCAGGGCACATGCCCTTGACCGGAATCGAACCCAGGACCTTTCAGTCCACAGGCTAATGCTCCATCCATTGAGCCAAACCAATTTCGGCATGTTCTGCATTTTTTTATTTAACACGTCAGATAATCATTTTCCTCTATTGTCACATGGTCTTTATAATAATCACTTAAAATGATATAATTGCTCATTGGGTACAGTAAGTTGGATGGCAATTTTCTGGTACAAAAGATGGACACTTGTGCAGATTTGAAGATAGATGTAGGGGGTTGTGGGGAAAATGTGTCTAGTCTAATGGGAATGGGGGGATGAGGAGAGTGCCTTTAGGAAGGATGGAGTTTCCTCCCATTCAGTTCTTTCCTTTGGCTGCTGGTGTGACCCCAACCTCTCAATCTGAGTCAGACTCCTGCACTTTCCCCCCTAGACAAGAAGTTTCTGCCACCCAAAGCCCCAGCTTGGTTAAGGTATGTTCTGTAAATAAGTTGAGTAACGATGTTACTCAAAAATGGTGTTCTGGTTCAATTTCCCAAGTTAGGTCTTTAGCATTCTGAGAGTAAGACTGCCCCATAAGCCCTATGACATCTGTGCACATGCTTAAATAGCAGATGCTCAGTAAATGGTTGTATGACCAGCCTCCAATGCCTTTCCCTGGCCAGTAAGATACCCTGTTTCCCTGAAAATAAGACAGTGTCTTATATTAATTTTTGCTCCCAAAGATGCGATAGGTCTTATTTTTAGGGGATATCTTATTTTTCCATGAAGAAGAATATGGTACACATTTATTGTTAAATGAAAATAAAGGAAATTTATTACCTGTATACGGTACGGTAGTACGGTAGTTGTCAACATAGACCAGACAAACTGTGAATCCTACAGTATCAAGAATTTACTCATTTATTCCTTGACAATCATGTCATCATCTTCTGGAACATCATCATAACAATCCAATTCCTGAATTTCCTGGTGAATTTCTTGTGACTCCATTTCTTTCAGAATCAGTGGACCAAATCTCTCATGTTTAGCAATAGCACTGTCTTTAAATGAGTACTACTTTATGTCAAGGTAACCTGCTCGCAGTGCATTTGCAATGCAACTGTCAGTGATTTTCTCCCATGAATTCTTCACCCAAGTCACAACTTCTTGCAGTTTAGGTTTCACAAAGTTTCCACGCTGATTTCTCTCCATTCTATTTTCAATGTAGTCATTAATTTCCATGCGCAAATTGTCTTTGAATGGCTTGTTTATTGCAATATCAAGAGTCTGGAGATAGGCCTTATTTTCGGGGGGATGCCTTATATTTCACTCAGAAGGAAACCTGGAAGTAGATCTTATTTTCGGAGGATGTCTTATTTTCGGGGAAACACGGTAGTTGCTTGGCTCTGTATCCCATTCTGGGAGGCAAGCTTTTGGCTTCTCAAAGCAGAAAAAGGCCAGGAACCAGCCAAGGGTTGTTAGGGCAGCCTATTCTATGAGTCTGCCCCACCTATAACACGGTAAGTGTGCCAAAACTGGTTTGGCTCAGTGGATAGAGCGTCAGCCTGCGGACTGAAAAGTCCCAGGTTTGATTCCAGTCAAGGGCATGTGCCTTGGTTGCCGGCACATCCCCGGTGGGCTGTGTGCAGAAGGCAGCTGGTCGATGTTTCTCTCTCATCGATGTTTCTAACTCTCTATCCCTCTCTCTTCCTCTGTAAAAAATCAATAAAATATATTTTTTTAAAAATAAAGCGCAGTAAGTGTGGAGGGAAAAGAAAGAGGAACAGATTATGTGTTTTTGTCTCCGGAACATAGGAAAGAAGTCAGATTGTTTATCTTTAAAAAGAAGATGATCATCACCTTGAGAACTCCATACTGAAGTATTTGTAAATGAAATGGTAGAGTGTGTGGGATTTTCTCCAGTTCTACAGGACAGGACGGGGGAAGTAGGGAAAGGTATATGAGACAAAAGTGGGCACCAATTGTTGGGAGCCGAACAATGATTAAATAGAGTTTATTTTGCCCAGCTGGTGTGTGGCTCAGTGATTGAGCATCGACTAATGAACCAAGGAGTCGCAAGTTCAATTCCTGGTCAGGGCCTATGCTCAATCCCGGCGGGTAGAAGTGCATGAGACAGCCGATTGATGTTTCTATCTCTCTATCCCTCTCCCTTCCTCTCTGTGAAATAAAAACATAATTTTTAAAAAAGTTTATGTTTATATTCTGTTCAGTTTTGAATATGATTAAATTTTTTCATAATAATATAAAAAAGAGTAAGAGGGTTGTCCTATAGGTTGGGATTGGTGAGACTGATCCTCCCTTCCCAAGCCTGATTTTATACCAGAAGGCAGTGTCTTGGTTCAACTTTGAGGCTGTAGTGCCATCTAGCGTTTACTGCAAACATTCAACAAAATGATGACATTGCAAAGGTCCTTCTATCTCCTAAGGCCCTTCTGTGAACCCTCTGGCCTTTCCAGTTCCCTCAGGGAAGGCCTGGCTGAGGCGGCAGGGCTAACAGGCCCAGGCAAGGGCAGTACAAGCCCGCCCGGAAGCGAAGGTGGAGGTGGCCTTGATGGTGGTGAGGGTGGTGGCAGGTTGCTCCTCGCTCCACGCCTCCCCCAGGCTTGGGAATCAAGCTGTGGACCAGCGTCTCCTTTTCGTGGGCGGGTGTGCAGGCCGGTGACCTTGCTGCAGGGTTCTCCGTGTGACCCAGGTACAAAAATAGCCTCTCTTGTGACCAGTGTGTGCTCAGCTCACCGGCCTGAGCAAACAGCCCCTCACACCTGCACATTGTTGACTCGGTGTAGGCACACAGCTACTTGTTTGCAGGTGCGAATGACTGTTTGTGTACCCAGAACTGAGGGGAGGGCCATGTTCTTCTTCAGCCCACTGTTTCCTTAGAGCAGGCACCATGGGGTCACAGAAATGGCAGAATGTGCAGCCTGACACCCCAGGGCTGGGTCCTGATGGAGAGAGAGTTCTTAAAAACCCTCCCCTCCAGCCGAAACTGGTTTGGCTCAATGGATAGAGCGTCAGCCTGCATACTGAAAGGTCCCGGGTTCGATTCCTGTCAAGGGCATGTACCTTGGTTGTGGGCACATCCCCAGTAGGGGGTGTGCAAGAAGCAGCTGATCGATGATTCTCTCTCATCGGGGTTTCTAACTCTCTATTCCTCTCCCTTCCTCTCTGTGACAAATCAATAAAATACATATTAAAAAAAAAACCCTCCTCTCCAAATATCACCTCCCCCCCTTACTAGAGAAGAATCCACTCTTGCCTCTGATAGTAGGACAAGGACAATCTGGACACCACGGTAGCTATATTTAGGGACAGAGAACATTTGGAAAAGATATAAACACCTTTCAAAATAAGACTTCTGGAAGTTCTGAGCCAGGCTTTGTATATTATAAATCGTAGGGGATAACAAAAGTGGCCCCGCCAATTTCACCAGGACAACTGAAATGGACATGAGTGGAATTTACCGACTGTAAAATTCCATAGACGTGGAAGGTAAAGGAAATGGGGCTGGGAGAGGGCAGGGAGTGACACATGATGGCAACTTTCCCCTAGAAGTGTGATCAAGTCTATTACCATGGCTATCACATGTACTTTTATTTTATGTAACAATAAGCAAGAAAAGATGTCAAATTGTGATTTAGAGTATCCTACAGGGATATTGAAATGAGGAAATGAATTATAGCTTTTTTTTTTTGGGGGGGGGGTCCCTGCAAGGCAGTTTGAAATTTTTAAAAACTTTCAGAAAATGTAGTCCCTTTTGGTTCATTAATTCTACTTCTAGGGGAGTATCCTAAGAAATAACCAGAAATGCTAACATTTGTGTACAAAATGAGCCATGTTTACAAAATAAAAGTGAAATACTGGGTAATGATTAAATAAAGGTCAATGATGGTCATTAAGGATGGGATCTTATACTGCACTTATAATGAGCTTATGAAGATTTTCTAATGTGGGAAAGACTTTGGCATTAAGTGAAAAGATAGTTATATAGCTTGACCTCAACCAGGCAAAAATGTATGTCAGTGTATGTAAAGTATTCCAAAGGCTATATTGTTATTAGCATTTGGAAAGTATTCCAAATGCTAATAACAATAAAAAATGTTATTAGCATTTTTTCTATTAGCATAATAGAAAAAATGCTAATAACACTGGTGATCTTTGAGTTATAGAATTATGTATAATTTACATTTCTTTACACATTTCAGTGTTTTCTAATTTTACTGAAGTAAATATTTATAATTTTTATTCAAAGGAATCATAATTTTGAAAGGAAAAAAGAGAGAGCCAAAAGATCAGAGTGGACATGAGTGTTAGATAAAAACCTCAGGATTATAGGCTCAGAAGGAGAAATGAGGGACTGATATCAGGCTGCTGGGGGTTGCTGCCAGACTTTCTTCCTGTCTCCTGACTGGGGAGAGCCCTGCTGTGTCTGGGATGTCCGAGAGTAAACATGTCCATTTCCCATGACAGTTCCCTGAGCGGAATAGATCCCCAGGGGGGGAAGGTCAAAGTGAGGCCCCAAAGCTATCCATCCTGCACTCCATGCAAGGAAAGGGCATTATTTCTTTGGTCTCTAGATCTTCTGACATGAGGTTAATATGAATAAACAAGTAATGAGTCTTCTGTGTTATTTCCCACCCAGTAGATATGTTTGATGACTTCTCGGAAGGCAGAGAGTGTGTCAACTGTGGGGCCATGTCTACCCCACTCTGGAGGCGGGATGGGACAGGGCACTACCTCTGCAACGCCTGTGGCCTCTACCACAAGATGAACGGCATCAACCGGCCCCTCATCAAGCCCCAGCGCCGGCTGGTAAGCAAATACCCAGACCACAGAAGTCCAACAGCCTGGGGCAGGGGTGGGGCACATTTCACTCTTCTTAGCACCTGGCTTCAAGGTTCCTACCTTGGTGAGACATTTCCTGGTTTTGAATTTTGGATTTCAAGTCATCTTTAGAAGAAGGTATCGTTTGAGGGGTTGGGTTGGTGGGTGCTATGTAGTTCTCACACCTTTAGAATTAAGTTAGTTTGAGCTGCAAGGTTTTCCAGACTTGACCTTGAGCAAAGAGCCAGATATCTCTCTGGCAAAATGGGTTTATTCTGCAACAACAAAGATTTGTAATTCAGGGCATGTGGTCCACTGGTAAACCATGCCAAGCCCAGGTGACAAAGGAGGGGAACATTCTTACACAGGGGAAGGAGGAGCTGTGTAAACAAAGAGTCTATTGGAGGAAACTGGGAGTTGGAAGTATGGTGGCTTTTCATTGGCTGAGCTGTAAGTGTTGTAGGGGGAGGAGAAGAACCTCCTTCTACCTGCTGGAGTAGTAGAGTAGAAAAACATTTTCCTATTGGAGGTGGAAAATATGTCTCTTGTTTAGAGTAATGATAAAGAATGTACCACATGAGACTCCCCTGACAGCCCCTCCCAACTTCCATTGAAATGAGGCTTCTATTTATTAATTTTCTTAAAAACATCTAGTTCAAGCCCTTAATTGTGCAGAAGTGAAAGTGAAGCTCAGAAAAGCTAGTGGCTTGCCTGGGGTTGCCTATGAATGAGTCCAGACTTCCTGGTTCCCAATCCAGTGTTCTCTTGTACGTCTCTTGTGCTCCCATGAGAGGGCAGGGCGGGGTGAGGGGGCAGGCGGGGCGAGAGGGCAGGTGGGGTGAGAGGGCAGGTGGGGGCGGGTCCAGCTCCAGGTAACTGGACCCTAGGTCTAACCCAACCAATCAGGTCAGCCAAGGTAGCAGCACCACCCTCCCTATAAAACCCATTGATATGTTAAGTTCTTCCTCTTTCTCGCCCATGCCCTCGTTGGTGTAGGTGAGACTGGGCTCGGACTAGTCCGAAATAAATACAGACTCTCTGCAATTGCATCGGATTCGGCTCCCTGGTAGTCTTTGGGGTTTATGACACTTGGGCACAACACCCATCAACCCCACGAGGAAGGTCAACTCTTCTGTAGTCATTGTTACTTACCCATTTTTCAGTTGATCAACCCAAATCCCAGGGAAGTTCAACAGTGTGTACTTGGCCTGTGGCTGAGGAAAAGTTTCAATTGAGTTTTTTGGTTCTCCGTGGGCTTTTCTTACTATTTTATTTTTACCAATACATACTGGCTTTCATGTATATTAGGGAGGGGAGAACAGAGGAGATTAACCCTTGATGTTTCCCTTTCTTGAAGTCCCATGGCCCATCCAGTCTCTGATGACACTTGGACACAATAAATCTTCACCCACCACTTGAATATCATATTAATTCTACTTTTCTGCCTCCAGTGCCCAGTGCTCATTGGACTGTCCATCTAACAATGAATGACTAATAACGTCACTAAGCCAGTCAGAACTTGCATTCACTCTTCTCCCAGGGCAGAAGTTTCCCCACCCGAACACCCGCCGCAGGAGCGGCTCGGCTCCGGTGAAGGGAGGTCTGGTGCTCTGGCTGGCCTGAGATGCTCACACAGGAATATGATCGCCTGCTCCCACCTACGGGAGGCCCAGCCCCGCAGCACTCCCTCCCTGCGAGGCAGAAGCACAGCGCCCGCCTTTTACTTGGACTTGAAGGGTTTCTCTCATGTATTGCAGTCCGCTTCCCGCCGAGTGGGCCTCTCCTGTGCCAACTGCCAGACCACCACCACCACGCTGTGGCGCCGCAACGCGGAGGGCGAGCCGGTGTGCAACGCCTGCGGCCTGTACATGAAGCTCCACGGCGTAAGTAGTCCCCCCGCCCCCGATGCAGGACCACCACCTCGACCAGCACCCATGCTCTTCATACCCATCGCTCAGTCCTCAGAGGTCTTTCTCCCTTCAGACTATAATTTATTTTTTCCTTCTTAACAGAGCTACTTAGATGTGGAAGGAACCATACAGATTACATTAGTCCGTTCAGGTTGTTCCAACAGAATACCACAGACGGGGTGACTTCTAAATGGGAATTTATGTCTCTCAGTGTGGAGGCTGGGAGTTGGAGATCAGGGTACCAGCATAGTGGAGTGAGGGTACTCCTCTAGGTCACAGACTTTTTTTTTTTTAATATATTTTATTAATTTTTTACAGAGAGGAAGAGAGAGGGATAGAGAGCTAGAAACATCAGAGAGAGAATCATTGATCAGCTGCCTCTTGCACACCCCCTACTGGGGATGTGCCTGCAACCAAGGTACATGCCCTTGACCGAAATCAAATTTGGGACGTTTTAGTTCACAGGCCATCGCTCTATCCACTGAGCCAAACTGGTTTCGGCTAGGTCACATGAAGGGCATGAGGGAGCTCTCTGGAGTCTATTTTATGAGGCTGTTAATCCTATTCATGAGGGCTCCACCCCCATAACCTAATCAACTCCCAAAGGCCCAGCTCCTGACATTATCATATCTGGGGATGGGTTTCTAACATGAATTTTAGGGAGACACAGAATTTCATACCATAGCAGAAACATTGCCACTCACTTCATCTTTAACATTATATAAGTCTAATTCCCATTTACAGATGAGGAGACTCAGAGTAGTCTCTATATATGGTTAGTATGGGGGGAAAAAAGTAATTCAATGGATAAGGATAGCTTAAAATAATTGTATTAATAAAATCTGGAAAACACAAGCAAAGCTTGATTTCCACCTCCTACCAAAACCAAAAATAAGCTTGGGTGAATTAAAGATATGAAATGTAAAATATCTTTAAATAGAGGCAATAAAAATACTAGAAGAAAATGTAGAAGATGACATTTGTATAACCTTGTGGGTTAGAGGAAAACTTGGTAGACAAGTTTTTAGAACTTTTAAGGCATAAGATAAAAGTCAGGTATATTTGATTCTAGAACATTTAATATTAGTGTATAGAAAAAGGATACCTCAGGAAAGTAAAAACCAATACACATATCAGAAAAAGTGTTCATATTTTCAGAATACAGGGAGCTTTACAGAGCTCTTCATGTTCTGATTTGCAACAATCTCCATTATACAGTGCTATTAAAAAGTCAGTGTAGGCCAAAGCTGGTTTGTCTTAGTGGTAGAGCATCGGTCTGCGGACTGAAAGGTCCCAGGTTCGATTCCGGTCAAGGGCATGTACCTGGGTTGCAGGCACATCCCCAGTAGGGGGTGTGCAAGAGGCAGCTGGTCGATGTTTCTCTCTCATTGACGTTTCTAGATCTCTATCTCTCTCCCTTCCTCTCTGTAAAAATTCAATAAAATATATATATTTTTTAAAAAGTCAGTGTAGAATGTTGTACACAGCATGGCACCATTTTTATGAAGAAAGAGAAAGAACGTAATTTATATGTTGCAGCTTATTTACACAGAGGACACCTGGAAGAATACATAAGAAACTGGTAGCATGTAGCATGGGTTGCTCTAGGAGAAGTAATAGGAGAGTTGGAGGGACCCTTTTTTCACTGATTACCCCTTTTGTCACTTTTAAATGGTGCATGTCTTAGTTGTTCAAATATAAGTTAAAATAAAACAACACAAGTAAAACAAACAATAAAAGAGATCCTACAGAATAATAAGAAACTAACAATCTGTCTTCCCCCATTTCCCCAAATGGGCAAAAGAAGTAAACTTATAATTCACAGAAGCCGCCCAGTTTAGCCACTGAACATGTGCAGAGAGGCTGGTCCTCACTAAAAATCAGGGAAGTGTCAGTTAACACAACCTTGAGGTTCCCTGTGTTGCTCATGTGTTTGGCAAAAATTAAAATGCATGATAATATAGAGTGGAGTGGATTTGAGAAAACAAGTACTCTCATACTGTATATTGCTGATTTGTATGTCAGTTATTACAGATATTACTTCAGGAAATTAACCTGGCAGTACTTACTAAGGTTAAAAACACACATACCTTTTGATGTAGCAGCTCTACTTTTGAGAAACTAGCCTATAAAACAATAAAAGAATCAATACATAGTGATGTTTGAAGTATTTATTGCTGCAGTGTTTGTATTGGCAAAAACTAGAAACAATCTTCAAGCCTCATACAGAAATGGTTGAGTAAATTATGGCATATCCTATCATGCACACTGTTGCACAGAAATTAAAAAAGAATGTGTACTTGACCTAGAGTAATGAAAAAACACATTGCAAAGAAATATATACATAGTATAACCCTATACTATGGAGGTGAAGATACATTAGACATATACACAGATGGAAGGATGGATGAGTACGCACATACATACATTATAGATATGCGTAAGTGCATACAAGTCTGAGAATTTTTAAAAATGTAAGGAACATAGGCTATTTCTCCAATTGCCTCATGGGGACAGGATTGATGGTAGTGGGCTGGGAGGGGTTTTATGAATTTAATCTCAGGTGTGTTTTCATCTTAATGAGCAAAAAGTGGCTAAAATATAGTTAAGAACATTCATAAGATAATATTCTTCAAGGAGTGTATACAAGGATGTTTGTTGAATCACTGTAATAGTAAAAATGGAGAAAAAGCTCCAGGAGGGAAATGGTTAAAGAAACAATTATTCTCTAATTGGGGCTGGGGGTGGATTATAGAGGAATATTATGTGGGTATTAAAAAAATTAAAAGTAGAATTTCCACCGAAACCGGTGTGGCTCAGTGGTAGAGCATCGGTCTGCGGACTGAAAGGTCCCAGGTTTGATTCCGATCAAGGGCATGTACCTGGGTTGCAGGCACATCCCCAGTAGGGGGTGTGCAAGAGGCAGCTAGTCAGTGCTTCTCTTTCATCGACATTTCTATCTCTCTTCCTCTCTGTAAAAAATCAATAAAGTATATATTTTTTAAAAAGTAGAATTTCCATATGACACAGCAGTCCCATCTCTGGGTATATTTCCAAAAAGAATTGAAAGCAATGTACACTCATGTTCATGGTAGCATTATTCACAATAGCCCAAAGGTGGAAGCAACCCAAATGTCCATTGGTAGGTGGGTGGATAAACAAAATGTGATATGTACATACAATAGAATATTATTCAGCCTTTAAAAGGAAGAAAATTCTGACACGTGTTACAGCATGGATTAGCCTTGAAGTCATTATGCTGAGTGAAATAAGTCAACCACAAAAGGTCAAATTCAGAGGCAGGAAGTAGAATGGTGGTTGCCAGGGGCAAGGGTAGAGGGGAAATGGGGAGTTATTTAATGGGGACAGAGGTTTGGTTTTGCAAGATGAAAGAGTTCTGGAGATGATGGTGGTGATGGTTGCACAACATTGTGACTGTGCTTATTAACACCATTGACTTGTATACTTAAAAATGGTTAAGATGGTACTCGACCAGTGTGGCTCAGTGATTGAGCATCAACCTATGAACCATGAGTTCATGGTTCAATTCCGTGTTAGGGCACATGCCCGGGTTGTGAACTGGATCCCCAGTGTGGGGCCTGCAGGAGGCAGCCAATCGACAATTCTCTCTCATCTTTGATGTTTCTCTCCACCCCCCCCCTTCCTCTCTGAAATCAATTTTTAAAAAAAAATTAAGATGGTAAATTTTATGTTATGTGTATTTGTTGTTTTTTAATCCTCACTTGAGGATATTTTTTTCATTGATTTTTAGAAAGAGTGGAAGGGGGAGAGAGAGAGAAACATCGATGTGAAAGAGGCACATCCACTGGTTGCCTCCTGCAAGTGCCCCAACCAGGGCCAAAGGTCAAACCCGTGACTGAGGCACATGCCCTTGACCAGGAATGGAACCTGTGACCATTCAGTTTTCAGGCTGATGCTCTCTAACCACTGAGAAAACTGGTCTGGGTTATTATGTGTATTTTACTACAATTAAAAAAAAAAAAAAAAGTACTGAGGTGGGTAAGGATAAAGAAGAGGGCAAGATTCATTTGAAGTTGGGATGGGCTTTACCAGGATCTGAGTACACTTTTGCCCAAAGTTGGGAGTGCTGGCTCATCTGGCCCTCAGTTCACTAGAAGGCAAGTTCAAGATCATGGACGCTGGTGCGCTTCTCTTAATGGTTCCATGTTGACATCTCTGAAGTGGTGATTGCTTTTCTTTCAGTGTTTGCAGGTGTGGCCTTTATTAGTCCCATATGGGAGACTACCCATAGACGGGCTATTGTGGGCCAGGCCTAAAAGAAACCAGATGTGGGGAAGGCCAAGTATTGAAAAAACACTAGAAAGATGCAGGCTTGCTCCACAGGCACTGGTTTAGGCCTCTGTGAGTGAAACCCATGTCACTGCATGTTTATGAGAACTCAGATGCGATATAACTATAGTCCGCGGACAGTTTATCTCAGCACCTGGCCACAGCTCCGTCTCTCCAGCTCTTGCTGCTCCCATGGAAACACCACTGTTGGCTGTGGTCAGATTCAGTGCAGTGAGGAGCTGCTATAGGCAGTGTCTTTACACCTTCACTCCCTGGGACTGTCCAGTGTATGCCTGTTTCCTTGGCGTCCTCACTGAGAAGAGCACCGCCCTTCTTCAGCTCTCTCTGTATCCTGACGGGGCTGATGAATGAAAGGCCTTGGCACCCACTGTGCCTGCTGCCCGAAATACCTGCCCCCTACAACTCAGACGTCACCTCTTCTGGGAAGCCTTCCTTGCTGTGCTCCTGTGCCATTCCCTCCCCACCCCAACCCAGGACAGAGTTCTCCCCCAGCACCGATGAGTCTGGTTATGTTCTAGTTGTCTGTCCTTCCCACTAAACGTGAACCTCTGGAGGAAAGGATCTATGCCCTCCAGTGTCTGTTTCTTCAGGGTCTAGTTTGATACCCAGGATGTCATAAAGGATGCTCAATACATTTTTTTAAAAGAATAGAATTGATTTCTCTCTTGGCAGAAGTTCCAGGGGCTGATTTCCTTAGTCTCAGCGCTGAGGTTTACCGAGGAATTGCTTAGATGCTGTCTTCCCGTAATGTGTGTATTGAAATACATGTCGCTGATCATGTACAAATGGAAAACCATATCTATCGACTTGTGATCCCAGGTTCCCAGGCCTCTTGCGATGCGGAAAGAGGGGATCCAAACCAGAAAACGGAAGCCCAAGAACCTTAATAAATCTAAGACGCCAGCAGGTGAGGAAAGAGCTGCATGTAATTACATGAATGAGTCTGAAGTCCTTGGAGCATGTGGGAATGTGTTCTTGGTAAGGTGAGCCGGCCCGGGGAGTCAAGATGTAACGTCAGCAACATCCATCCCTAGCTCTTCAGGACATAATGAGGAGCCCAGTAGAAACGTAACATCACCATGGGACCTACTGGACCTCTGGAAGCAGGGCTCTGATCACTGCCAGTCATACAAAGGCTGTCGTGGGCCAGCTGGACTGGTCGAGGGCCTGAAGGAAAACGGAACATCCCCCCATCTTTGGGATCTAGTCATGGTCACGACAGACTGGTTTGTAAGCCAATGTATAATTAACATCACACGGTACTTCATACTTTAGAGAATTTCTTCACAAATAGTCTCTCGTTGATCTTTAAAGACCCCCACCTGACCCCACTTGTTGTCTCCGTTTTACGAACAAGAAGCTGAGGCTCAGAGGAGGCAGAGGCGTAACCAGAATCACACAGCTGAGAATGGGCAGTCAGACCCATGTTTGTACATGTCAGGGTCCAAACGCTGTGCAAGGCACCACCCTGCCTTCTCAACTTCTAGATGAAGGCTGAGGACCACTTCTGTTTCCTCTCAGATCCCTTCCTCCCAGTGCTGCTTCTGAAGGAAAGCTTTCACTGGGAATGCCATCGTCCCAGCAACATAAGCCAGCTGAGCTGATGGGGAGTTGGCCCTGCAGAGTCAGATAATCTCCCCTTTCCACTCCCGAGAACACGACCACGGTTGTCCTTTCCCAGATTCAGCAGCGCTCACCCCTCCGGCAGCCCCGTCTCATTAGACCTTCCAGTGTCTCTCCCCCGTGGTTCCCTTCCTCTCTCCTGGCTCCGTACTGTTCATAAATAACCCGCCCCACACCAGAGAGCAGGTGTTTGGTTCAGGTGGACAATCCCCTATCTGAAACTTAAAGTCCAGGGGCTGGGTTTGGCAGCAAAACCCAATCTGAACAGACACAGGCTGTGTATTGTCTTTTATTTACCCCACTTGTGACTGTTCCCATGTTTTGCTGTAGAAATATTCATGCATTTCAAAGTGGGTGTTGTCCTAGACCTCACTGGAGAGTTGTCCCCTAATGTACAGTATATGCCCCCCCTTCTTTTTTAAAAAAATATATTTCTTTTTTTTTAAATATATTTTATTGATTTTCTACAGAGAGGATGAGAGAGGGACAGAGAGCCAGAAACATCGATGAGAGATGAACATCGATCGGCTGCCTCTTGCACACCCCCCACTGGGGATGTGCCCGCAACCAAGGCACATGCCCTTGACCGGAATCGAACCTGGGACTCTTCAGTCCGCAGACGGACGCTCCACCACTGAGCCAAACCGGTTTCGGCAAAAAAAATATATTTCTTTATTAATTGCAAAGAGGAAGGGAGAGAGAGAGAGAGAGAGAGAGAGAGAGAGAGAGAGAGAGAGAGAGAAACATCAATGAAGAGAGAGAATCATTAATTGGCTTCCTCCTGCTCAACCCCCTATTGGGGATCAAGCCCACAACCCGGGCATGTGCCCTTGGTCAGAATCGAACTTGGGACCTGTCAGTCCGCAGGACAACGCTCTACCCATTGAGCAAAACTGACTAGTGCCAGTATATGCCCTTTTAAAAAAAAAAATTAAAAAAAAAAAAAAGGTTTGAATCCTGAAACACCTGTGGCCTCAAGGGGTTTGGGATAAGGGGTGATGTCCCTGTCATTTCGAAAAGTTCCCTTGAAAATCTCATTTTAGGAACCGATTCTCTCCACTCACGAAAGACCCCTGCTTTCGCCCCAGCAAATATAAATAAGCCAGTAGCATGGGTCTACCCCGCTGTCTCAAAGGACGGCCACCCCTTTGTCCTTGCCTCTGCTCTGCTCGGTGTCCTGACTGACTCTGCCTTGTTCCAGGTCCCTCGGGCAGCGAGAGCCTCCCTCCCACCAGCAGCGTTTCCAGCAACTCCAGCACCGCGACCACCAGCAGCAGCGAAGAGATGCGCCCTATCAAGACAGAGCCAGGGCTGGGGTCCCATTACGGCCACAGCAGCTCCATGTCCCAGGTGCGCCCCTGGGTGGGGAACAGGACTGCCCCTGGGGAAGTAGGTACCAGGGGGCCAGGCCGGCACTGGGGTCTGGAGCACGTGACCGAGGGGCTTGTCGGCTGCCGAGGGTAGGAGCTGCGGGCACATCCGATCAAGCCACAGTGATCTGGACACACCTGTGAGAGACAAATGTTCGGCAGCTCCTCTGTCTCCTAAGGGAGGGGTGATCTGACCTTGGCGTTGAAGGATGTGTAGATGTTTGTTAGAAGGAGGAAAGAAAGGAGGAGGACCCTCCTGGCCTGGGCCGAGGCATGGAACTGTAGAGGGCCCGGTGGGTGGGGTTGGGGTGAAGAGGAGATCACAGGCAGGATGTCATTTTCATGAGGACCAGCTGCAGGGCCATCTTCCTCGTGTGCCCAGAAGATGGACCAGCAGTCCCCTCATTCTCTTCTTTAGGAAATGATGGCATCCCTGCTCCTGAACCCCCTTACCTCTGAGGCTCCCCTCCTTTGGGATCCGGATGTTCCGGGTCACAGTCTCCTATTAACTCTGACCTCTTTCCCGCCCATACTTGCGGGAGGCCATGTCTGACTAGCCCTTTGTAGAACCAGCAGAGCCAGGAGCCCCTCTGAGATGGGAAGACAGCTACTGTTTGAAAGTGGGGTGCTGATGAGATTGTAGCAAATGTCTTGGGTAACTATCAGAGCCTTCGGAGCAACCAGAGCAGTTGCACTACTGGTCATGGTGCTCAGGGGCAGGTGATGAATCACACAGACCCTCTGCGCCCACAGCACAGGGCGGAGGACACGGCAGTGTTTCGGGGTCCCGGGTCCTGCCCTTGTCCGTTGGCCACTCCTCCGGTCCCCCTCCTAGGTGTGGGAACCAGCCTGAGCACATCACCTAATGGGGCTCCCCCTCCTGAGCCCTCAGGAGTGACCCCACTGACCTCACCTTGCCCTCTTTGCTTTGCAGACGTTCTCGGTCAGCGCCATGTCCGGCCACGGGCAGTCCATCCACCCGGTCCTCTCGTCCCTGAAGCTCTCCCCGCAAGGCTACGCAGCTTCCGTCAGCCAGTCACCGCAGGCCAGCTCCAAGCAGGACCCTTGGAACAGCCTGGCCTTAGCCGACAGTCACGGGGACATAATCACCGCGTAATGTCGCCTCCCTCCCTCCTCAGATTCCTGCACAGATTGGGACTTGGAGAACCGCAGGGGGCGAGGACCGGCTCCCAGCAGCCGTCCTGCTCCGCCTGGCAGTGATTCCGGAACACCTGGGAAGAAACTTGAAGTCGATGATTTGGTCAGGGGAGTGGGTGTAGGGTTTCATCAGATGTCTCTTCACCATGAGGGGCCGGGACGAGCCCAGACTCTGGTCCAGACGCACCCACCCTTCACGAGGAGCACACTCAAGTCCCTTCCATGGAGCCGGAGACTTCTCTCTCGTCCTCTGCCCCACTCCACCCTGACGAGAAAGGAGCTGTTCTTCTCTACCCTCCCATCACTATGGCCTGAGACGGTGGTTTCCCTCCGGTGATCCCAGCACCGGGATCTGAGAGTGGGGAGAGGGGCCAGTGCTGGGACCCTGCTCCCGCCTGAGCTAGCGCATCCATGTGCCTGCCTTTCCGTGTGACAGGCCCCTCCAGGCAGCTCCTGCCCGTGCCCAACACTCCCCTTCGGGCTCAGCACACCCCTGCACCCCTCAGTACTGAATCCCGGCTCCAGGAACGGTGGGCGTCCCCGTGTCACTGGGTGCTCTGTGGGGAGAAGGAGGAGAGGCTGCCTCACCCAGCATGGGGTATGGCATCGCAGAATCTCAACTTGGCAATGTCACCTCCCCCACGTTCCTTTTCCCGGCTCAGGGCCTCATCCCTTCGCTCCTTCTCTTCACCCCAAGGCGTCTGAAAAGAAAAATCCCTTCCACCGCTCCGTGCGATTCAGCCTGCCTTCAGCTTGGCCGTGTCTCTCCCTCAGCAAAACAGGAGCTCAGCAGTTTAGCCGAACATCAAGTCCCCCAAGTCTGCCCCCTCAAAATCCTTCCTCCGCCCCATCATGCACAGGGGGTTCTGAGTGAGAACAAAAAAAGGTTTTGCTGCTAAAGCGAGTTTGACCGACACTGACCTAAGACTTGAATTCCCTCTGGAGAGGCTGTCTGGACACCCTGGGGCTGGGCCGCCACTGAATCGGGAGCAGGGTTTTCCGTGGATTCTGACTCGCTTGCACTTGGATCTTGCTGACGCCACTTCTGTTCTGCGGAGCTGGGCTTCTGGGCCAGGCAGCGAGTCCACCCAAGCGGTGCCCTTGGCATCCTTCTCCTGTTGTCCAAGAGGTGAAAAGCTAGCGATTTCTCCACATAAATTCAAAGCAAACACAACAAAACTCCTGAAAAGCAAGAGGACGGCGGCTCAGAGAAGACACTGAATCGGGCCTTGGGGGCTCTCCGGTGCTGGTCTGGAATTGGCCTTTTTCCTAGCTCCACGTTGCTGTTTCTGCCTGTGATGCCGGAGCTCACAGACTCCTCCCTCCGTGTCCTCCTTATCCAGAGTGTCACCGACTGCGTCCTACCCTGAACACCCAGCTCCCTCCCCACCCCCAAATCCTACAGGCTGTAGCAGAGAATATCTCTAAACCAAGATTCTGCTTTAATCATCATTTACATTGCTTTCTTTCCTGAAGGCCGCCCTCATATACTTTCCCTAACCCACAAACGCGTTAACATTGTCTTAAGGTGAAATGGCTGTAAAATCAGTATTTAACTAATAAATTTATCTGTACTCCTCTTCCCTTTCTCCTCCTCCCTCACGTGTCTTTCCCGAGAGGTGCGATGATGGCTTTTGCAAGGCAATCGTGAGTCACAGTGGCCCCTTCCTCGATCCGCTCACAGGCAGCACCTAAAATCGTTTCCTTCCTTTCTGTCTGCAGATGGCCAGGTCCTCGGTCTCTGCAGTCACTGCTGAAGGAACACGCATCCTGGCCCTGCACTGAGTAGTGATTGACCTTGGCAGCTCATCTCTAGGCTTTGGTTTTCTGAGAGAGGGCTGGGTCAACCGTCAGTTAACGAAGGTTCCTGTGGTCCGTCAGCTGACACCCAGTGGCCGTTCTTAGAACTCCCCTCAGGGATCACAGGGCGGGAACATGAGGTGAAGCTTAGGGGCAGTGATCGCTCCAGCCACCTGAGTTAAGTGTGTGCCGAGAGTCACCTTGAGGTGCCCTCCCATCTTCCACTTCTCCTCTATGGTGCCACTCAGACAAGCCCTTCAAGGGGCAAGTGGTGCTCCACACCAATGGGAGAGGAGAGAAATGTCTCCTTTATCCGTTTGTCTTCACCTTCTTAGGCTCCAGAATTGCTGAATTGCTTCATCTTAAAAGTGAGGAGGTGGGAAGGGGAGTCGGGGAAGGGATCCAGATAAAAAAAAAAATCCACCCCAACTCAGTACTATCTCCGGTGGCTTCCAGTCTCACAGTTGGCTTATGCCAACCCACTGGGCAACTGGTGGGCATTGACTTTTCAGAGCACCCCTGTTTTTGAGCAGCTCAGAAACACACGCGCGCGCGCGCGCGCGCGCGCGCACACACACACACACACACACACACACAAATCACCAACATGCTATGTCAAATCAGAAAAGCTTTTAAATAGGCTCAGGAACAGCTAGACCTATGGAATGTAGGGGGAGAACTCTAGCAACTACAAGGGAAAAAGAGCTTTAAAACCAAAAATACCCCCCCCCCCCCAGGATTTATGTTGGCCTTGTGATGAAGTCCTTGCTGAAAATGTTCAGCCACTTCCCTTTAGGAATGGCTTCCAGAACAAAATCACATACAATACCAGAAGACCGTATATAGTCATGACTGCTCTGCTCCAGAGGAGCTATCCAGCTTGTCTCAGCCTCCGAGCTCACCAGACTTGATTGCTTTCCCAGATGAAATGTATCCTCGGAGGAGGCCGATTTTGATATTCTAAAGGACGAGGTTCCCAGATGGTTGGGAAGTGGCTGGGGAGAAGGGTACGGGGCGGGAGTGGAGGGGAGGGGGTGGTTGCAGGGAGGGGATAGGCTAGCAATCCTGGCATCTTTAGAATAAATGAGGGGCTTAATATGGTGTGTGAAGCAGCCAGGGAGCATGTGTCCAGGTAAATCCTGGACACGATAAAACCTTTTGAAGCACAGGTCAAGTCATTGTGACAGTTGGAGGGCATTAATCCTGCATATTTGACTTTTGAATGCCTTTAGGGGGTGAGCAGAGCAGATTTAGCGGTGATTATGTTTGGCCTGGGATTGACAGCTGTGCAAGTTAGGTTTATATTGACTGAACATTCACTAAATGGAGCTGAGCAGGAGGGGGGTAGGATTGGATGACCCCACCCCTAGCCCCGAGTCCCTGGAACGTGACATACTGACTAGGATACTGAGTGCATGAGCAGCAGCTATTTGGAAAGCTGCTTTTGGAGTAGAAGTGATTGATTTTTGTTTATTAAGTCCTTTTGTGACATGGAACTCTCATCTTCAGATTGCATCCTTGCCCTGCTTGAAGCTAGAACACAAAAATGCCATCATCCCGTGACCAAGGACCAGCCTTCAAGCTTCAAGGCTTAGCCTGGGAAGTAGGGCCTCCGGGTCTCCCTGGCCCTGGACACTTGCTTTGGTTTCTGACCCGCAGCCTCCTGGGACTGCTGCTGTTCTGTACTGCTCTGGGTCTAGGGGACTCTTGTCTCCCTCCAGTGGCTGCAGCAGGGGCAATAGCAGAAAGACTGACTGTTCACTAACAAGGAGAAGGAAATAACCCAAGTGAATGGGGACATTAAAATAGACCTAGTCTTTCAAAGTCCAGGTTTCTTGGGGTTTGTGCATTGCAAGTTCACTCTTCTGACTGAAGCCTGGGAGACAGGTTTTGTAGAGAAGTGACTGCACAGCTGTGCTCTGGATGACCAAGAACAGAGGAATCAGACAGAGCCTGTGAGGCACCCGGGGCTCTTGGGCCCAGGAGGTTCCCCTATGCAGGGAGGTTTTCCTCTCGAGGGAAGGAAACACACACACACACACACACACAACCTGTTCTCGTGACTGCCTTCAGTCCTTTAGGGTGATGGCCCTGCTTCACCTGAGAAATAAACATGTGACCGCCCCCTTTCTCCGACTGGGTTTGTAAGAGGTTTTTACTAATCACTGGGCAGTTACCAACTCCTAATCAGTGAATCTGATTTCAAGACGTTCATTCAAATCAGTCAATACTAATAAACACTAGTAAGCTCCTCTTACAATGGCTGTAGTCATTTGTGCTGCCTCTTCTTGAAAATGGAGGTGCTCATCTGAAATGTGAATTACAATTAGGTGTTAACCATGTAGATGTCGCATTCTACCTCGTTAGGGTCACATTGAATTGGGGCTGGCACCCCTGACTTTGGACCAGCAGCTCAGAAATCTTGAGTTGGAAGAAAGTGGCTCTGGTCTTAGTGGGTCTTACACATTCTTGTTGGTAAAAATGAAACCTTGGGGCCCCAAATGCTCCTCCTGGAGACTCCAGATTGATGTTCTCCGAGTAGAAAACAGTACCTTTATTGTGACTCAAATAATGAGGCTTCAAAATGGTTTGGAAGCTACACATCCAAAGTAGCCACCTAGGAAACCACGTTCCAATGTTGCAGGCAAACTGAGACTCCCTGTAGACGCTGTCCAGAACCTGCTCCTCTCGGCCTAGGCTGCTTAGCCACATTTAGTTTGGAATCCCAAACAACTGCATCACCTGACCAATTTTTTGTCACTGGTCTTAATTCTAAATGCCCCTTCAAAGTATAGACAGTTGCCACCAGTGAAGAGCTACTGAAGAATGCGTTGGAGGCTCTGAAAGCTAGTCCCAGCGAAGGAAGCAGAAGTGATGGGAAACATTTTCAGGTCTTCTGGGGCTGCCACACTGAAGGGGACAGCATGTTTTAGTTCTGGTGTGTTTTCCTGCATCCACCCAAAGACCTGGTGTCTCCCCTCATGGCCCAGCTGTGTTGAGATTTGAGCGGGACTGCGAGTAATGGGACTGGAACACACTTCCAAGGCTTCCTGCAGGATCCTGGGTAGAGAATGCTTGGGTAAGTCATTCTTGTCATGTGGGGCAATGGCTTTTAACTTTTGGGGCCACAAGACCGCTTTAAAAATGTAACAAAAGCCGTGCCCACTGTCCCCCAGAAAGGTGCACACAGCCTGAGATGTGTCACATCACTGGGACTCTGAAAACTCCTCCGTATCCCCAGGTTAAGACTCCTGCTCTTGGGCTCTGGTTTAGTCCCGTCAGCAAGTCTGTGTTGAGCAAACTGACTAGATCAGCTCCTTCTAGGGTGACCTAGAACTTAACCGGGCAGCTAAGTCCTGTTTAGCCATGAAAGTCAAGCAGTCGAACAGTCCCAGGACAGCTGTCAAGGTCCTGGAGAAATCAGGGGCACAAATGCAGCTTAGAATCTAGCTGTCTACACAAGGACAAGCCTGAGGAGTCCCTGGTAGTCCATTCCTTATAGGAGGATATGGGGCTGGAGTCTATAAAACTACAATGGGGTTACAGGACACAGGTTGCTAAGGATTTGGGGACATTAGTATTGGAAAGATTTCCAATAACTGTTCTGGGAGAGTCGAATGAAACAGGAAGAAAACTGAACCCCACCCACTAGGGGAAAAGGCTGCCTGGATTGGGTGCCTAACACATTTGGAGACAATGATGGGGTCCCAGAGATTACCTAGTCCAAACCCTCTTGTCCCATCATCATGGAGGGAACTTGCCCAAGGCCAAAGAGCTGGTGTGAGGAAGAGCTGCACTTACTGAGCACATACCCTCACTAGGCTCTAAGTTTGGAATAAAGGTACTGCCCTTGCAGTTAATGCACTCACCACACGGGCGCGCCTGCGTCCTCCTACTCCCTTGTTTCCTTCATAATGTTATCAGCCTGATTTTCAAGCAACTTGAGATCAGTCCAGAAATTCTACTTAAAAACAAAAAAAAGGTATCTTATGAACACTGCTGCACATAAGATGCTGCACATAAAACATTCATATATCGTCACAATCACGGTTTGCACACAAAGAAGATACAGATTTTAAGTAACTCAATGAAGATCAGAGAACTAGTTTGTGCGGAATCAGGATTCAAACCATGCCTATTTGACTCCAGAATTGGGGCTTTTACACTCCACAAGTACCTCTCCTAAAGAGCTGGAAAACCACGCACAGCTGGGTCTAGGTCCCACTCCAAGACAGTCTTTTTTTTTTAAATTTAATATATCTTATTGATTTTTTTACAGAGAGGAAGAGAGGAATAGAGAGTTAGAAACATCGATGAGAGAATCATCGATCAACTGCCTCCTGCACACCCGCTACCGGGGATGCGTTGGCAACCAAGGTACATGCCCTTGGCCGGAATCGAACCTGGGACCCCCTCAATCCGCAGGCCAACGCTCTATCCACAGACCCAAACGGTTTCGGTCAGGCTTGCCTTTGCCTGAGCCACCCAGAGTTATCCTGTTCCGGCACTTAACTTTTCCCTATAACCCTTGGTCTCATTAGACAATAAACGATCCAAAGGCGCTGCGTTTCTTCTCCACCGCCCGCTCCTTCTCAGTCTCTGACCACCCTTCTCCCACGCCCGCTTTTTACCCCCAACCTTGGTTCCTACGGGAACTCGAGGACACCCACCGGCGCCTCCTACTCTCCCCACCAAGCTAGACCGCACCCCTCGGCCTCGCCCCGAGCTAGACCCCACCCCTATAGGCCCCTGCCCCTAGGCCCCGCCCCCTGGCGCCGGGCTCCCACAGAGCCTCGCGCCTCCGACTGACGCATAGCCCCGTCCACCCGCGGAGGCGAGCCCCGCCTCCTGCGCACACCCGGGGGGCGGAGCCCAAAACAGTCACGTGTCCACATAGGCGTGGGGACCCTTCCGCTACACCTACATCCCCACCTTGGGCTGGAGCCCCGCTCCCCGCTCCCGGGACGGCGTTCGCCCCCGCCTCGGGGCTGCGGGCCGGAGCCGGTGAGTGCTGCCGCCCGCCCTCCGCGGGGCCGCGGGGGCCGCGGGAGGCGGCGGCTCCCTCCGCGGAGGTTCGGGGAGTGCTCCCTGCCACGAGCTTGGCCGCCGCCTGCGCGCGTTGTCGTCACTTCGTCATCAGCGGGAAAACTCAAATTACGAAAATTTTAGAAGCGTCTGCATGGAACCCGCACCCCTGGCCGAATTTCCTAGGAGACGCCTCAGGGCCTTTCCGTCTTGTCTCTGCGCCCACCTCTCACCCCCCTCACCTCGAGAAAGTTGGGGAGATCATCCTTTTTTTAACTCTCCCGTCGGGAGTGAGTGCTTTTCCTTGAAAAGAGGATGGCGGTGACCCCCTCTCACCCGTTCTTTCAGAGTGGTCTGCTGCGGGCCCTTAGCCGCCCTGGAGGGTACTTGAGGGCAGGCGTGATTTCCCTGTCGAATCTGCTTGGGCTCCGTGGGCAGAGCGGGGGCCCTCGGACTGAGGGTCGCTGGTTCTGGTTAGATTCCGGTCAAGGGCACATACTTGAGTTGCAAGCTCGTTGGACCCCAGTGGAGGGCGTGCTGGAGGCACCTTATACTTGTGTGTCTCTCACATCAATGTTTCTTCCTCCCTCCCTTCCACTCTCTAAAAATCAATGGAAAAATATCCTCCAGTAAGGGTTAAAAAAATGTGCCCCTTCTCGTTTTAATCTTTTAAGGCTATGGTAGAGGCAATTTGCTGCTCGGTTTTCCATCTCCAAAAATGTACTTAAACATGCCATGGGTCTAGGTACTTTAAGGACTAGGTGCGTTTCAGAGGGAGATTTTTCCATAAGCTTCCTTCCTTGGAGATGACCTGGGCACAGAGGGCTGGCAGAGGTTAAGGTCAGCTGCAAGAATCCAGGTTTTTGTTTGTTTGAAATATATTTTATTGATTTCAGGAAGGGATAGGGAGAGAGAGAAACATCAATAAGGAGAGAGAATAATTGATTGACTGCCTCCTGCATTCCCCCTACTGGGGATGAGCCTGCAACCCAGGCATGTGCCCTGATAGGAATCGAACCTGGGATCCTTCAGTCTGCAGGCCAACGCTCTGTCCACTGAGCCAGAACAGCTAGGGCAAGTCCCCAGTTTTGTCCCTATAGATTCTTGAGTGTCTTGAAAGTCTGATTAGGGGAATATTATTACATTTTAGTGACTCTCAGACACCATCAAATTTAAAATACACATTATTGAATGTGCTACTAAGTAAGCTATGAGAAAGCATGACTTGTAAGAGGCATCCCCATTTCAGGGACTTAAAAATTGTTTTTTAGAATTACTGAAATACACTAGCTACCACCATGCCAGGTACCCACTTAGAGTTTTGGGTTTTTATCCTTACTTATAGAGTCCCTGTGGCAGGTGAGGAAACAGGTAGTTAAATAGTGTGTCCTGGGTAAGCGTGAGAGGGGGCGGTACTTCTGTGTCTGAGAAGCTGGGATGCAGACCTTTCAGACTCAAACATCTGAATGCCTCCTACACAAGCTCTCAGTGAACTTGGGTGATTTGGAGCAGGGATTTGATTCAGGGTTAAAATGGAACCCCAACTGTTTATCCACTACCAGGGATAAGTATTTGTAGTTAAGCTGGAAGTGACCTCTCCCTGTTCTGAACCCACATGACCCTGTGTCTGTACTAGTCACATATATAGCGCCCTTAAATGTGAGGGGGTCCTGGGAGGGCTCGATTCACATCTGTGTCTTTGTGTCCCTTACAGCTTTCCCTACTGTGACCATCTCTTTCCTAAAAAAGGGAGGGGGGGATAAATGAGCAGCAGTGGGTTGGATTGGTTTTGGGGCAGGAAGGAGGAGGACAGAGAAAATGTGGAGATGAGTTAGAGGCCACAATCTAGGCAAAGGGTAATGAGAGTCCGCTCCTGTTCAAGCTGCCACAGGATCAAAATAGAGGGTGCCCTGAGATGCTGTCTGGCACTCTAGGGGTGCTAAATTGTTTGCCGCATGAAGAAGGGTGAGAGGAGCTGGAAGGGGAAACCCTGGTTCCCCTCTTTGATCTGGTTCCCCTCAGCTGGTTCCCCTCTTTGATCTGACCCTCCTCCCAAGCCACGCCCCCCTTTTTGGTCATATGTACTGTTAAAAGTTGGTGACAAAAAAATAGCTGTTTGAAAGCTCAGAGCTTGACACCCAGCAGAAATGCTAGAGAGAAGCTAGCTACATCATTTCCGCCTGCAGGGATGCCAGAAGGGCCTTCAGTGAGGAAGTTTCACCATTTGACCTCCCCCTTTGTGGGGCAGCAGGTGGTCAAGACAGGGGGCAGCAGTAAGAAGCTAAACCCTGCCAGCTTCCAGTCCCTGTGGTTCCAGGACACCCAGGTGAGTCCATTATCTTCTGGTGGTCAGGCCTCCCACAGGTGGGCCTACTCCCTAAGCATAACCTATGCCTCCCCTGTAATTTATCTCAGCACTTTCTATGCCATCACTTCCTTGAGCCCAAGACAACCATGCTAGGACTCCGTGCAGCTCCTCTTTCAGTCTGATACTTCTCAGCCAGAAGTGGGCGTTACAGTGGCCCATGGAACTATAAAAGATACATATGCACAAGCTGGAGATGCTGATCGCTTCAGCTGACTGAGGTGCACCTTTGGTTGGAAACCATGTTTAGTCCCACGGGGCCAGCATGGACGTAAGCAAAGAGCAGAGCCTTCTGATAGAGTTTCCAACTCGCCTCACCTTTGCCCCAAGTGTAAGTCAGAATTCCCTCTAGGTCTGACTGGTGCCTCCCTCTCTAGCACACTTCTGACCCTGCCCCAGATCTCTCTTCCAATCATCTTGAATGTTCTGGAGCTCCTCTAACAGTCCTCCTCGCCCATGGCTTTGCTATGCTGTTCCCCTGCTTGAGCAAGTCTTCCTTTATCTTCCAACTCTGCCCCCATTCTTGTCAGCTCAAGTTACCATGGCTCATACACCTCTTCTAGTCTTCCCCTTTCTGGGTCTGTAAGCCTCAGTCTGTCTGTGCTGCCATAATAGAATGCTACAGACTGGGTGGCTTACAAATCCAGAAATTTATTTCTCAGTTCTGGAGGCTGGAAATTCAAGATCAAGGTGTTGGCAGATTCAGCTTCCTGGCTCATAGATGGTCATCTCCCTATGTTCTCACATGGTGGAAGGGACAAGGGAACTCTCTGGGGACTCTTTTATAAAGGCGCTAATCCCATTCATGAAGGCTTCACCCTCAAGACCTAATCACCTTCCAGAGGCTTCACCTGCAGATACCATCACATTGCAAGTTACTGTTAGAACATATGAATTTCAGGGGGGTGGGGTGGTAGTGTACAAACATATCTATAAGCAAAGGCTTAGATCATGTTATTTTTTTCTAGGTCCATGGAAAGAAATTATTCCTTAGATTTGATCCAGATGAAGAAACCAAGTCTCCCAGCAACAACCCACTGCCAGAACCTCTACAAAAAGGAGAGAGGAAGAAAGAGGCTGGGGACCTAAAGCAGACCTCGGGTCCTGAAAGCCAGAATATTTCAGACCAGTGTTCCCAGTCTGGTAGTGGAGACAATAGTTCTGAGTGTTTGGGGGGAGACAGCCCAGCAGGAGGTGCTCAGAGGTGGCTGCAGGTCAGCTTTGGTCTGTTTGGCAGCGTTTGGGTGAACGAATTCTCCAGAGCAAAGAAAGCAAACAAGAGGGGTGACTGGAGGGACCCCATTCCAAGGTAACGGTGTGGTGGAATGGGCTGTGGGCTGTGTTTGTCTGCATCTCTGTGGGGTCTGCAGTATTAACATGGCCCCCAGGGTGTGGCACACTCAGGTGGCTATCCAACCTGCTCTCCGGCAGTCCGCATCCAAGGAGAGAGAAGACACTTCTCTGTCTGTTGTCACAGACAGTAGACTGTGGTCTGCACCCAGAGAGGCAGGGTCACATCCTAGGTCAGCTTAGCGAAGGGGGAAATTTTCCCAACAAACATGGTCCTGGTGGGTGGAGGTCTCCGGGGCTGATTTCTGAAATGGTCTCCATCTAGGGGAATTTAAATGCTCTTCCATTAACAGAGCTCACCCCTAGGTTTTCAGATTTGTCATGGAGTTAACACAAATCATTCTCTTACTTTTCAAGTCTTGTCAAGTTATGTTTCCCTTCTCATTGTTCAAGTTTTATACATTACATTGTCTCCCCATCCCTTTTTTCTTAATTAGGCTTGCCAGAGTTTTATCTACATTGTTGGTCTTTCAAATAAATAATGTTAGTTCTATATACTCTCTATATAAGAATATTTCCTGCGCTAGCCAGTTTGGTTCAGTGGACAGAGCATCAGCTCACAGACTGAATGGTCCTGGGTTCAGTTCTGGTCAAAGGCATGTATCTCAGTTGCAGGCTCCATCACCAGTCCAAGTCAGGGTGCATGTGGGAGGGAACCAATCGATGTGACACATTGATGTTTCTCTGTGTCTCTCCCCTTCCCTTCCGCGCTCTCTGAGATCACCTTACAGAGGCTTCATCTCCAGATATGAAATGGAAAAATATCCTGGGGTGAGGATTAACCATGGTTTCCTTCCCCTCCCCCACAAAAGTGTTTCCTAATTGTCCAAATGTTTGGTCATCATTTTTATTGGATTACACTTTTGGCATTGAAATTTGCAGCTGAACACATAATTGACCTTTGCTTATACTTTATGTACATAAATGAAGACAGTATGTTCATTCAAAGTCAAACAATCTTTATTTATTTATTTAAAATATATTTTATTGATTTTTTAACAGAGAGGAAGGGAAAAGGATAGAGTTAGAAACATTGATCAGCTGCCTCCTGCACAACCCCACTGGGAATGTGGCTGCAACCAAGGTACATGCCCTCGAACCTGGGACCCTTTAGTCCAGGGCTGACTCAGTGGATCTATCCACTGAGCCAAACCTGTTAGGGCTAAAGTCAAACAATCTTTAAATGTTAAGAATAGGTTTATGGCTTTGATAATCCAACTTCTCTCTGTCCGTGCTTATTTTTTGTTTACTATACTTAATATGCCAACATGGGAAGAGGAGCGTTCCAGTCCCTCAGAGTAGTCGTGGTTTTATAAAGTTTCTTCTTGTCTTTTTAAGCGTGTGTGTGTGTGTGTGTGTGTGTGTGTGTGTGTATGTGTGTGAGTGTGTGTGTGTTTTGCTCACCTGTGGTCCCAGGCAGCAGGGCTCCCTGACTCGTAGGTTGTTTACAGCTTCATTCTTAAACAGCATCCCCTCTCTGTCCTTGGGAATGCACATGGATGACCTTGAATTATCATTAGCTGAACTCAAGGAGTAGGCAGAGCCACGCCCTGGGAATGTGTTTCCCCAAAATGTGGGAGACTGTTATCAGTACTGATTTCTTATCTTTATCCTTGTGCTTGGAATGAGGAATGAATAGGACCTTGGCTTACCCAGGTCTTGATATGCTAAGTCCCAGGAATGAGGGAATGAATAGGACCTGGGCACACCCAAAACTCCTTTGATTCTAAGCTTTTCAGGGAAACCTCCCTTTTTCCTTTGGAAATAAATAAATATGCTGTGTTGTCTGTGGTGCGTGTTGACTGTCTCTCCATCAGAGTGACAGCTCCCCACCTGGGTCTCAGCTTGAATCTATTTCTGTGTCTTGGCCTTTTTTTTTTCTCTTTAATTTCTTAATCCCCAACTCCACTCAGGAACCTGTCATTTTCCGTGTGGGTCGCGGAAAACAGAGAAACAGCCCCCCATACCTCTCATTGCCTTTGGTCTTGAATTCTGCTTTTCTTTTTTTCCTCCTGTATCCCCCCATTCAATCTTGTTTGCCACAATCAGACAGAAAGGACAAGTACACTCTTGCATCTGGAATTCTGCTTTTCTTTCTTTTTTTTTAATTGATTTTTTACAGAGAGGGACAGAGAGTTAGAAACATCGATGAGAAAGAAACACTGATCAGCTGCCTCCTGCGCGCGCATACACACACACACACACACACACACACACCCACTGGGGATGTGCCCACAACCAACATTTCGAACCTGGGACCTTTCAGTCCGCAGGCCGGCGCTCTATCCACTGAGACAAAGTGGTTTTGGCGAATTCTGCTTTTCTTGATGTTAATAGTGTCACTCTGTTCCTTCGGCCTACCCCGCATGTTGGGTAGGTATGTCTTAGTTGTAGGTATGTCTCCTATGAACTGGGAGGCAGGCTTTTGTATTTTTTTAAACTCAAAATGAAACTCTGTGTTTTCAGATGAGATAACTGTTGTATTTGGATTTTCTTCTACTTGCCATTTCATTATACCTTGTTCCTTCTTTTGTGGGATTTATTGTCTCTTTTCTGCCTTTTCTCCCTGTTAGTTTGGAAGTATTATTTTCCTTCATTCTGTTAGTAATAATTTTCTTTAAATTATACCTATACTTTTTTCTTAGTAACCAGCAAATTAAAAAAAAAAATTAATTTATTTTTCAGTTACATTTGACAATAATAAAATTTGAAAATAACATTACATTAGTAACTCTTCTCCCTTATTATTGAAACTGGCGTTTTGGTCATTCTCCTCCCCCTCTCTGAGATGAGGCCTTTAACATGTTTCTGCATCTCTACCTCTTTTTTGTCACATCCACTCAATTTCCTGCATTTGCTAAAGTAGTTTAGAATTTTAGTTCCAGGTTGTTAATTAACTAGATTGTGTAGTTAATTCTATATAATTAAACTAATTAAGAACCACGTCCACCAGCAGCTGCTCTCATACCTGCAGCAGCTCTCCCCCCACTCATTGCCTGGAGCCCAGAATACATACTGTCTTGTTCTTGCTGCAAGACATGGATTTGAAAGACGTATTGGCTGTTCTGATACCTAAGGAGCAAGCCAGACAGTGGTGGTCAGATCACTGTGGACAGGATGTCTGGTGGCATGAGAGGCACGAAGGAGTTGGTATAGGAAGTATCAACTCTTAATCCTGAAAAGGGCATCTGTTTCTGATGAGGCTACAGGATTCCTGAATGCCTGAATCTGCTGCCCGAGGCTAAGGGTGGGGAAGAACCCCTGCAGGAGGGCTTATTTTGGCTGCTGGTAACTGGGCCAGTCCCAGCAGAGGAGCAGGTATCTTGGCTCTCAAAAGAGTGGACAAAGAGGGCAGCTCAGCCTCCCCATGTCGTCACCATGCTGGACGCCTTTTCCATCAATCTACACCCCTTGTCTCAGCTCCGTGCAGCCATTACAGCCCTCAACAGGGGAAGTAACTGCCTGAGCATATGCAGAGGGTGTCAACAGAACCAAGTATTGATTCTGATTTACAAAAACTGTGTGGATCTGATTGCAAAGCTATCTATGTTGCTGCAAAGACTTACTGGAATCTGTGTTGGAAGGACAGCAGTACTGGGCCACTGACTAAGCTGGACTGGTCCCACAATTTCATCAACATGTTAGGCTATGCCTATGCTCAGTGTACTGAGCTCATGTGCTTGTACCTCACCACCCACAGTGACCATGGAGGGGACAGTGTAGGTACTCAGACCAGCCACTTATGGGCAGTGCCCTTTCAGACCCCTTCCTGTCCTTTGCAGCAGAGCCCCTACATGGACTGGCAGATAAGGAAGTGCTTGTTTGGCTAACGCATCCACAGAAGGAAGTTGGCAAGGGTGTGTCAGATGAGAAGTTGCTAGACTACATCTGGAACACACTCAATTCAGGGTGGGTTGTCCCAGGCTGTGGCCATGCACTACTAAGGAAGACTGATCCTGATACATGTGTCAGCAAGAGTTTGCTCTGAAACACCTGCCTCTTGACCCCCTGATTAAGTTGCTTGCTCAGCTGTACAAGTTTGTGCCCAGTGTCCTCTTTAGAGTAGGTCAAGGCCAAGAATCCTTAGCCTACTGTAGATGCTGCTCTAGTACGATGCATGACAGAAAAGAGTTACCACACAGTCCTGTTTGGGGTGTCATGAGCATTGGGTGCACTGGAGCCAATCCCAAGTCCATGAGCACTGATGGTTTGATGAAGTTTGTGGATTGTAAGTCAGGGCAAAACTGGGGACTGAGGGAACACTATCAGAAGTGAAGGAACTTTGAAAAAAAGTATGGTTTTGTTTCAGGGAGCTTTCAAAGACAAGATTAAATTGAATCTGAGACACTGATAATACATTTGAGGTTAAAATATAAATGAAGACTTAAAAAGATGAAAAGTAACTCCCTTTCCCCTAACTAGCTCCTTTCCCCTGATGGGAATGAGTTGCCCATCAGCTGTAGGATGACCAGGACTAAGGCATGTGATGTGGGTTAGATCTGGCCCCCCCCACCACCTTTAGAGTGAGAATCTGGCTCCTCGTTCCCTGTGTCAAAGCTGATTGCAGACAACCTGTAGTCACTCTGGAGCTTTTGGTTCTACTCCACCCAGCCCTCGGTAGACCAGCAAACCAGGACTCTGCCCCTTCTGTTCCCATAGGAATCCTATTGGATTGTCAGCTCTACCAGCCCCATTGCCCTCCCCCACGTGCACAGACACTTCCTAGTTAGCTGGACATGCTTTGGATATTTTTTTATGCTTCCAGGTGACCATAATGGTTATGAAATTCGTTGTTGTTACTGCCACCCGGTATTTGATTTTTACCTCTCTTTTTTTAATCCTCACCAGAGGATATTTTTTCCATTGATTTCTAGAGAGTGTGGAAGGGCAGGAGGAGGAGGGGGAAGAGGAGGGGAAAGGAAAGGGAGAGGGGGTAATTGAACCCTAGACCCTTGGTCCTGAAGCTGACACTAACCACTGAGAAAACTGGTCAGGATTTATTTCTGTTTTAAAAGTAACCCCATAAAAAGTTCCATCTGGAAATGTTCTAGTTCCCATTACTTGAATGTTTCCTTTGAGATTTTCTTTACATGCTGTGCCTCAAGCTGAGGATGCTCCAGACCTTCCTGTCTCTGTCCCTACTAGAGACCTCGTTCAGCAGATTGTAGAAACCACTGTCTGACAATGGGTCTTTCCTGTATTCTGCTTTATCAGTGCTTAACATGAACTGGCCATTACTCTCTGACCTTTCCCCCCTTTATTTCAGTATGTGTGGGCCTTAGATTAGGGACTTGGGAATGACCATCCTGTCTACATAAATTAAAAACATATTGCCTGGCCAGTGTGGCTCAGTAGCTGAGCAGTGACCTATGAATTCCCTGTCAGGGCACATGCCCAGGTTGCAGGTCAATTCCTAGTAGGGGTCGTGCAAGAAACAGCCAATCAATGATTCTCATCTTTGATGTCTCCCATACCGTTCCTCTCTGAAATCATTAAAAAATATATATATATTTTAAAAACTTATTAAAATAGGTATATTTTGTTTCAAATAATTCTTTCCTAACACTTGTATTGTAGTTTTCAGTTGTACTATCATAATTAATCCATTTTAGATCTCACAAGAAATACTACAAAACCCAATGCTGCTTATTTGCCTGCCCTTTTCATCTCTCCCTGCCTTGAGATCCTTGCTGATTTAATCAATCACATCAGATACTATGCATATATGTTTCTGAGTTCCTGTTCCTTTAAAGTCACCCTTTTACTTTCACAGAAGAGAATCATCCAGGTCAGCTGCATGAATATCACTCTCCTTTCAATGTGGAGTCCAGTTCCAGCCCCATTATCTTCCCTTACACAGTAACCTATTATTTCTTTATCAAAGTTTGTAAGGTTTCTCCTCTGTCCTTGGGTTCAGGAAGCCCATGCGGGTATGTTTGGGTGTGTCTTTCTCAGTAAATCTTGCCTGAAACTAGGAGTGATGCCTTTTTAGCATCTGTCTTTCTTTCCAATAAACCCTGTTTTGTGCAGGTAGCCACAGCTCCTGAACGCTAGTCCTTTCTGTTCACCCCAAGTTGTCTTCAGTGAACATATATTGTTATCAGAAAAACAAAGAGCTATGTTATCTGTTTTCTTTTCATTACTCCACTTAGCCCTGAAATTTGTATGATTCTGGCATATAAGATCCCTTTTCTCTTTGGGGACCTTAGCTTCCCCAGTGGGGGCTGTATGGACGTGTGACCTGACAATTTTGTGGGCACTCCGTGTGCTTATGATCTTTTCTTCTTCCCAGGTTGGTCCTGCACTTCAGCAGTGGCGGCTTCCTGGCATTTTATAATTGTCAGATGTCCTGGAGCTCTTCCCCAGTGGTCCAGCCCACCTCTGACATCTTGTCTGAAAAGTTCCACCGAGGACAAGCCTTGGAAGCTCTGGGCCAGGAGCAGCCGGTCTGCTATACACTGTTGGACCAAAGATGCTTCTCAGGCTTAGGTATGACTGATGCAAAAGGGATGAGATGAGATCTCCACAGTTATTTAATAGGAAAGTCCCTTCTCTGGGAGACACAAAATGGAGACCTACCCTACGTGTGAGCACCAGTGGTCTTCTGGTGATCACTCATCCTCTCAGCTTCACTTCCCTCAGGTTTAAACTGAGGCACTTAGATTAGGCAGTTTCTGACTTCTTTCCTGGCTTCAGCATTCATATCTTAATTCTGTTATCAGTAGTGGTCTGCCTGATAGCATAGTGTGTGACCTTCTAAAGGGCAGAGTCTTGTCTCATCTGCCCATAAGTTGGTGCTTGACACTTAAGTAGGTGTCTGTTAGGAACCCAAAGCCACGCAATTTGCTGATGGAGCGTGGTGCATTTGCTAATGGGGGTTGCTCTCGGGCAGATGGAGCTGCCTGATAGTCAATGTCTCCGCTCTACATTAGGATCTTATAAGACATGAGTGAAGAGGCAGGTTCCCACTCTGTTCCTGTGCAGTGGAGCTGAGCATTTTGAGGAAGAGGGAAGGGTTGAGCAATTTGAAAACTAGGTCAGCTAATTAGCTGACTAGAACAGCTAATTATTTGGACTATTTCCAGCAGTGGGGCACCTATGATTGGCTGCTCAGGCAATAGGGTGAGCTGATGATGACAGAGTCACCTCTGTATCCAAGGCATCATTTTCTCTGCTGCAGGAGCAGCTCACCTCCTGAGGGGGAACGAGACCCACTGGTTTGGTTCACCAGACAGTGGCCTTGCATTTTATGTTAGGACCATGGGAGTCCCTGCACCTTGAGAAACCAAGGGGCTTCCAGAGTGGCCTTATAGAGTATATATAGTAAGAGCTAGTGCTTTGCTAACAAATTGTTATTATGAACAATAGTAATAAGTGCCAACAGTTTTCAAGTGACTCTAATGTGCCAGGCACATGGTTTCATCCTTATTGCTATTCTGTAGGGTGGTAATTTACTAGTGTTCCCTTTATCCCAGTGAAGAAATTAAAGCAAAGGGCGTATTGCTAGTAAGTGATACAGTGACACAGGAATCCAGGTAGTCTGCCAGTGAATTTTAGAGAGAAGTGTTGTGTGTAGCCATGTGTGTGATTATGAAGCTCTTGGAAAGAACAGTGATTTCACTCATCTATTCACTCCACACGTGCTGAACGCTTGCCTTTTACTGAGCCCAACCTTTGCTGCTTAAGGAGATTATTGTTTAATGGCCCAGCAAGCATGGACTTCAGTTCACTGTAACTTGAGCTAGAAGTAAATACCTGGTAGAGATTAAAGGAAGTGCATTGTTGGAACATTATGAAGAGAATTATTGACTCTGGAAGGAGGGATCAAGGCTGGCTTGATAGGGAGTGAAGCAGGAGTAGAAATATAATAAAATAACACATCCTGGACACTTTTATATCTTAGGCATTTTAAAGGAGTAGAAATATAATAAAATAACACATCCTGGACACTTTTATATCTTAGGCATGTGTGACATTTTAAACAACAATAACAGCTATAAACCAGCCACTGTGCTCAGCATTTGTGTGTGTAAATTCTCTTTACTGCTCACAAAAGCTAGGTAGCATCCCATTTTAAAGATAAGGAAACTGAAGCCTGAAGGAGCTGAGAACCTTGCCAGGGCCACATAGCTAGGCTCTGGATGAGCTGGGATTTAAATCCAGGTGGTTGGGCTGAAACCGGTTTGGCTCAGTGGTAGAGCGTCGGCCTGCGGACTGGGGGACCCCAGGTTCGATTCCAGTCAAGGGCATGTACATTGGTTGCGGGCACATCCTCAGTAGGGGGTGTGAAGGAGGCAGCTGGTCAATGTTTTTCTCTCATCGACGTTTCTAGCTCTCTATCTCTCTCCATTCCTCTCTGTTAAAAATCAATAAAATATATTATAAAAAAAAATAAATCCAGGTAGTTGGGTTCCAGAGCCTGTTTTGATAACTGCTTTGCTGTAACATGGGCCATGCATGAGTTTTATTTCCTTTTATCTTCACAACGGCCTTAAAAGTATTATCAAACTTATTTTTTAAATATTTTTATTGATTTCAGAGAGGAATGGAGATAGAAACATCAATGATGAGAGAGCATTGATGGATTGCCTCCTGCACGCCCCCTATTGGAAATGGAGTCCACAACCCAGGCATGTGCCCTTGATCACATTCAAACCTGGGACCCTTCAGTCCACAGGCCGATACACTGACCCAAACCAGCTAGGCACCAAACCCATTTTATAGACAGGGACATCAACTCGAGGATTGAGACTTACCCAAGAGCTTCCGAGCACTGCAGCCCTGGCTCCCGTTTTCCTCAGGCTCTTCCCTGCTGCCCTCACACCAGCTTCAGTCTGCTTCATTAACTTTGTGGGCTGGCTTTATTGCAGACGTGTCCTTGATTCTTCCCTTGTCCTCTCCCTGCTTTCTTTCAGGGAACATCATTAAGAATGAAGCCTTGTACAGAGCTGGGATCCATCCCCTTTCTCTCGGCTCACTCCTCAGTCCTCGGCAACTTGAGGTCCTCGTGGATCAAGTGGTGGAGTTCAGTACAGACTGGCTTCAGGGCAAGTTCCAGGGCAGACAGAATCACACGCAGATCTACCAGAAAGAGCAGTGCCCTACCGGGCACCAGGTCAGGAGGGAGGCCTTTGGGCCTCCAGGTGGCTTCCAGAGGCTCACCTGGTGGTGTCCCCAGTGCCAGCCCAGGCTGCCACCCGACGAGCCAGAGCAAGCCCAGCTTTCCTAGGGCCCTTGGTTCCTTCTTTACAAAACCTCGCCCTTCAGGGAGCTTGATGCTTGAGTGTAGAGAAAGGGGATGTGGGCAGGGATTGGGACTAGGGGCAGGAGTTAGCGGTGAGGGTGGGTCTGGAGGGTATCAGTTCTGTTGATATTCATCTCACTGAAGTTGAGTTTTCAACGGTTTGATTATTTTTTTAAGTGTTGTTTAATTCTTCCTAATTCTGCCATTGGGAAAGATGAGAAAAGTTATGTTGACAGTTACGGGAAAGAAAATATAAGTCTGTGGAAAATAGCTGTGCCCCACCCCACCATTGCTCTGTTTGGTTTGGTTTTGGTTTTGAAACTTTGGTTGTTTTAAGGCCCTCCGTTTGAGAATCAGGAACACGGGATTATCTGTCTTCATCCCCCTAGAGAGATCCAGGGATGAGGAAGGAGTAGCATGAGGGTCATGCTTGGGGGGGCGGGGGGCGGGGAAGGGGTTCGGGAGCTGGCCACCTTTCTGATGTGCCCAGGGGGCTTTAGAACAAAGCTGCTTGTTCCTCCTGAGGTGATATATTTGTGACCGTTCTATGTGGAACCAGCAGGAATCAAGGTTGTGGAGTCACAGTGTAAAGGTGTTAGCAACAGCTGGAAGAAACTAGGACATTTAAATAAAGCTGTTCGATATTTCCTGTTGTCATCTTTATTTGGCAGGAATAGTCCTTAAAATATAAGGAACTGAGTTCTTTGGCTGCATAGGACTTGTTGAAGTGGCCTGGTGGATCCACTTTAAAGGAATGGGGCAAGGGGTAGGGGAGGTAGAGGAAGGTAAAGGGGGGATAAGTGGTGATGGAAGGAGACTTGACTTGGGGTGGCGAACACAGTACAAATGATGTGTTGTGGAATTGTGCACCTGAGACCTGTATAACTTTGCTAACCAATGTTACCTAATACATTCACTTAGAAAAGGAAAGAAAAAAATAGCAAGGGTAAGGAGTGGGGGAGAGGGAAGGGGTGAGCACACACTTGCCCTTCTGCCCCTCCAGCACTGCAGTGGCAGGAGAGCTGGTGAAGTAGAGATGGATTTCACTTCTGTGGCCCTAGTCTGTGGTATGTAGAAGACGGTGATTTGCGAGTGAATTACAAACAGTGGCCAGTATGTCTGGCTTTCCTTTTCTCTCCTCTGTCTTAGGAATTGAGAGTTGTCAACAGAGGGAAGCCTCTTCATGGCAGACCTATAACCTGTATAATAGTTCATATGTACTGATTGCTTACCATGTAGAGCATTTAGCCTAGTTCCTATGTAAGCTGCAATAAAAATCAACAACAAAATACATGAAGATAGTGTCCTTGTTTTATAGATGAGGAAACTGAAGTCTAGTCAGGCTGAGGAACTTGCTGGAGTCACACTGTTGACAGGGGCCAATGGCACACATATTGTAGCCTCCTCTCTGACAGGCTTAGACAGCAGAGCTATTCAGTAGGTATTCATTGTGCACCGAGTATGTGCCAGCATGATGCTAGATGCTTGGAGGTAAGTTCATGAGTAAAACAAAGACATGTTATCATTGAACTTACATACTAGTAAGGGAAAACAGCCACTAAACATCATAAGTAAATTAGAATGTGATAAATATTCCCGGAAAATTTTAGAGTAGATGGAGGATCAGCAGAGGTGGTAATAGGTTGACCTGGGTGGGCCTGAATGAGAAGGTAAGAAAAGCAAAGACTTGAGGAGGTGAATGAATTAGCCAATTGGATATCTTGGGGGGGAAATATCACAGGGAGAGTGGAGCAAACCAACTATGTCAAACTCAATGGCTGTCGGGCCACATGCCTCACTTATTTAAAGACATAGGCTCAGTTAAGGTTGACCTTGTCAATGAAGATACTGGCCTAGGACGTTAACTACCCACCATAGCTGCTTTTAGTTAAAGTTTAATTTCAGAGCATTCTTTGTGGTTATTTTAGGTCTCTGAGTTTGCAAGACTGCCCTGCAGGCCTTCCCTGAGCTTGTCAGGTTAGCAGGTGGCCCCTTTTGTCCACACTTCAAACCTTTTTTTTTGGGGGGGGGGGGACTTAAGTGGGTCCAAAATAAACATTTAGAAGAGAGCAGCTGAAACTCTAGTGGCCATGTGGTAGGCAGTTAGACATGAGCAGAGCAAGGACGATGGGCCAGTTACAGAAAGTCACCTGGCAGACTGCCCTGAACATCTAGCAATGAAAAAAAAAACAAAACTGGTATAGCAGGTACTGGAGATATTCAAGATTTTGCCCTTAAATGTCCTCTCCACCCCAGATTAGCAGGTCTTGGAGATAAGAACTTTTCCCTAATACCTATCTCCGCCCTAGAACGCCTTGGGTCTTGCAGGTCAGATTCACCAGATCTTTCTTCCCCACAGGTGGTTTAGTCACGTGGTAGACCCCACCCTTAGAGGAGAACTAGGGGGGTGAAGGAAAGCTCCATCTAACCTGCAATGCAAGGACTGTAGACCATCCACAGGACAGGCCCCAATAGGTCAGTTGGAAGAAGAAAACAGTTAACTCCTCTGGGAAGGATTAAAAGGAGCCCTACCCCACTCTCCAGGGCTGCTCTTTGAGGCTCTCTTCTCCCCCCTTCCCCCCTGGAAGTTTCTTTTTGCTGCCGCCGCCCCCCCCCCCAAAAAAAAAAAAAAAAATCTCTAGCGAGTTTGGGTCTTGGCTCTCATTTCTTTTCTTGGCCAAAACTCGAGTACTGAGGTTGCTGAACCCAGGAATGGTCTGATCCCCCTGGCCAGACCCGTGGGGTGGGGGGCTTCTGCCGCCTACCACACCACAGAGCGATTGACAGAGAAGTGAAAGCGCCTTCTGGGGACAAACAGGGGCGTTTGTCTGACAGGTGAGTTGGCCCAGCTGTTGCTTCGCGTGTTGTTGATAAGCCCGGCAACTCGTGGATGGGCTCACCTGCCTTTTAACGTTGGGCAGTCGGGTGCGACCGCCCACACAGCGCGCCCGGCCCGGGAAGAGCTAGTCTGGCCAGCGGGACAAACAAGACACACGGAGGCCTTATTGACCGAAACCGTGGCGGACGCCGGCCCGGTCTGCCCGTCTCCGCAGAGCCGCTCCGGACGCCGAGGGGGGAGAGTCCACCCGGAGCACGGAGACTGCGGGGTGCGCGCCCCCAGCCCCGGGGCGGGCGGCGGAGGAGAGCAAAGCCCGCCCCCAGGAGGGGCGCCAATCCGGTTCGTCTGCCTCTGTCTCACCGTTCAGTTAGCTCTCGGCCCTTCTCCATCACGCCAGGCCGATCTTGCCGCCGATTGGTCGGCATCTTCCTGGTGCGAACCGCCCCGGCCAATCAGCGCTCGTCAGTCCACCTCGCAAGCCCGCCGGAAGCGTCTCGAGAGCCCGAGGCCCGTTAAGATGGGCGGGAGGTGGGCGTGGCGACGCCGCGTTGGGCCCGCCTCCGTCCCTGCCGCGCCTCCCGTGCCTAAGCCCGGTGTCGGGTGCCGTCCGGAGGTATAAACCAGGTGATATTGAGGCCCCGCATCCTGACGTCAACATGGAGTTTGTCAAGTGCTTGGGGCACCCGGAGGAGTTTTACAACCTGCTGCGCTTCCGAATGGGGGCCCTGTATAAGGTGATGCCCAAGATGGACCAGGTGGGTTGAACATCCCTGCATCCCTGCCCCACAGAAACCCCGCGCGCGGCGCCCGCCCTCGGGCCTGGCCCGGCGGACCCAAAATGGGGGCGAGGCGAGGGGATGGCAGACGCCTCAGCCCCCGCCCTCCCCCTGCCCAGGCAGGTGGTTCCCCCTTACCCCCGCCCGGCCAGCTTCTTCTCCTTGACTCCACGCCGCGCCCAGCCAGGCTCGGTCTCCCACGCAGGCCTCATCTCCTCGCCCGGACCCTCCCCAGGTGTCCTAGTCCTAATGCTAAAAATGTTTCTACTCGGCCAAGACATTGGTTTACAGGTGGTTTAGTTTCAAATGTTATTCTTCATGTCGATGTGTATGTATGTATGTTCTAACCCTCGGTGTTCAAAACAGGTTGTGTGGGTAATTTCAGTGGGAGAGGACCCGAGATAGGACTGTGTGAACCAAATGTTCTGTGTGGATACTATCAATGAATGCATTTTCTAAATTTAAATCTGCCTCATGGTTCCTGTTCTCTGTCCTGCCAGCAGTTGCAGACGCTTCCCTCACTTTCCTGCAGTCTGATCAATCCCTTCTTCCCCAGTGCTTCCTCGGATTTTGATAACCCTTATTTACTCCTCCCAGTTCTTAGTAGTTAGTTGCCTGCGTGTCTGTTGATTCACTACATTGTTGGTTTCTTGAAGGCTAGACCTGGTTTTATTTATATTGCATCTGCCTCATTCCTGTACCCTTTGTTAAATGGATGCTTACAAAAGTATTTATTCCAACAAGAAAACTATCCTAAAGTGACTATTGAATGAATAAACTCCTGCAGCTGAATTAGTGGGCTATATCAAAAGTTTTAAATTCTTTTCCCCCAATGGTAGTATCACAGTGAAATACTGTTACTTGTTTAAATGTACCCTTAATTGGTTTCCTTCATTAATTTTCCATCAGAACATTTTTTTTCCATTTGTCTCATAACTTAGAGTCCTCATCTTTCAGTGAGTGCTACCTCTATTAACCATTGAGCAGTCATTTATAAAACACCTGTTATGTGTTAGCCATTATAGAGGGTGCAGCATTGCAGGCTGGTGTGTATAGATAAATAAGACACTCAAAGAACTGACTATCTTGTCAGGTCAATAAAATGTTATAAAACTATTCACAGAAAACTTAGGAAGGCACCATCATGAGATGCCTTTTCAATGTCACCTGTGATTGTCCCTTAACCATTTTCTCTGACTATTTTACCTTCTATCAATCCCATAGTCTTGCATTGTGGTTATTTGTGTATTGGCTTTCTGTTCCCCAAATCCCTTTCCAATGTAAGATTCAGGATTTTAACTAGTTTGAAAATAGGAATCTTGTTCAATGTACCTTTAGTGAATTAATGAACAAAAGGTAGGTACACTGCCCTCAAACATCTAGCTGCTTTTTTTTTTTTTTTTAAAGCAATTTGTAGGTTCTATTTCCTTCTGTAAACCTGAATGGTAAGTTGCAAGGAGAGAGTTTGGTCTTTATTTTTATTTTTTTATATATATTTTTATTGATTTTTCACAGAGAGGAAGGGAGAGGGATAGATAGCTATCGTAGAAACATTGATGAGAGAGAATCATCGACCAGCTGCCTCCTGCACACTCCCTACTGGAGATGTGCCCGCAACCAATGTACATGCTCTTGACCAGAATCGAACCTGGGACCCTTCAGTCTGCAGACCGATGCTCTATCCACTGTGCCAAACCAGTTTCGGCAACATCTAGCTTTTTAAACAAGATAAATGTAAGTAAATGTGGCAGATAATAGTACAAGCCATCAGGGGATTAATCTTCTGAGGAATGTCTAAATGAAATGCAGTTTTAAATTGCTCTTGTGCCTTGCTCAATAGATATTTAATTAGAAATTCTTACTAAGAGTATTTATTTGGAGCTTTCCTGAAGTTGTTTGCGAATATTTATGTTACTGTAAATTTGTGTGTGTGTGTGTTTTTTTTTTTGGAGGGGGGGGTAGGGGAGGGACAGGGACACGGGGGAGAATGGTGTCCACTATTATCAGATTCTCCTAGGGATCTGTGGCATAAAACAAATAGTCACTGCTTTACAATCCAGGTTGTGCAATCTCCCGAACACCTCATGTGACAGATAATTTATTACCTCTGTAGTCTACCCACTCCATTTCTAGCCAATTCTGGCTTTTAGGCAGTGTTACTTTAAAGTGAGCTGAACTTCTACTCTTTGTTCTCACTGGAGCCAGAGAGTCTAATCCTTGTTTTGTAACACAGTACTTGAAGTGTTTTAAGAGAAGTCTCATATCTCTCTAAGAATAGTGATATACAAGCCAAATGCTCTGTGTTCCTCCACTTGATATTTACTGCTCTTTCCAGGTCATTTACTATCTTGGCCTCTCTCTCTCTTTAAAATCTACTGTTCAAAACTGAACAGTACTTTAGGGCTGGGCTGGTTATTTCAGACTTTAAAATTTCTTTTTATGTATGCTGTAATTTTTTTAAGTTAAAATCTTATTTATGACCCCAGTAACATAAAAGATTTGTTGTCCATGTTCAAAAAGAAGAAAAAGGTCTTAACCAGGTCTGTGGTTTATCTCATCCCTTAGATTTCCCAACCTTATGTTTCTTGTTCTTTCCCAACACCTGTGAGGAGCTTTGGTGCCATCAGTGGGGGCGTATCATAGTGCTTGATGAAAAATCTCACAAAGTTCTAGCTGGTTTGGCTCAGTATATAAGCATCAGCCTGCAGACTGAAGGATTTCTGCCAACTGAAGAGTCCAGGGTTCGATTCCAGTCAAGGGCATGCACCTTGGTTGCAGGCTCAATCCCCAGTCCTGGTCAGGGTGTGTGGGGGAGGCAACCAGTCGATGTGTCTCTTTATCATCCATGTTTCTCTCTATCTCTCCCCCTCCCTTCCACTCTCCCTCTTAAAAAATAAAAAGAGCCGAAACCAGTGGATAGAGTGTCTGCCTGCAGACTGAAGGTCCCGGCTTCGATTCCGGTCAAGAGCATGTACCTTGGTTACGGGCACGTCCCCAGTAGGGGGTGTGCAAGAGGCAGCTGATTGATGACTCTCATATATGTTTCTAACTCCCTATCTCTTTCCCTTCCTCTCTGTAAAAAAATAAATAAAATATAAAATTAAAATAAGCTGAAACCGGTTTGGCTCAATGGATAGAGCGTCAGTCTGCGGACTGAAAGGTCTCAGGTTTGATTCTGGTCAAGGGCATGTACCTTGGTTGTGGGCACATCCCCGGTGGGGGGTGTGCAAGAGGCAGCTGACCGATGTTTCTCTCTCATCGATGTTTCTAGCTCTCTATCCCTCTCTCTTTCTCTCTGTAAAAAAATCAATAAAATATATTTTTAAAAGAAAAAGAAATATCATATAAAAATAGGCAGCCTTGCCCTAGTGGGTTTGGCTTGGTGGATAGAGCATCAGCCTGTGGACTGAAGGGTCCCAGGTTCAGTTCTAGTCAGGGGCACATGCTGGGTGCCCCTTGGTCCCATGAGGGGCATGCAGGAGGCAGCCGATCAATGATTCTCTCTCATCGATGTTTTTATCTCTCCCTTTCCTTTCCTCTTTGAAATCAATTAAAAAAAAAAAAAAAAAGGCAGCCTTGCCCTGGTTGGTGTGCTCAATGGTTAGAGCATTTGGTTTGTGCATCAAAGGATCTCGAGTTCAATTCCCAGTCAGGGGTTGCAGGTTCAAAGCTGGCCTTGGTCGGGGAGTGTGTGGGAGGCAACCAATGTATTGATGTGTCTTTCTCACGTCATTGTTTCTCTCTCTCTCTCTCTCTCTCTCTCTCTCTCTCTCTCTCTCTCTCTCTCTCTCTCTCCTTCTCTCTCTCCCTCCCTCTCCCCCCCTCCATCTCTTCCCCCCTCCCCCTCCATCTCTCTCATCTACTCTCTAAAAATGAATGAGGAGCCCTGACTGGTTTGGCTTAGTGGGTAGAGTGCCGGCCTGCGGACTCAGAGGACCCAGGTTCAATTCCGGTCAAGGGCATGTAAATTGGTTTTGGGCAGCTGATTGATGTTTCTAACTCTTTATCCCTCTTCCTTCCTCTCTGTAAAAAAAAAATCAATGCGAATATATACAGGCAGCCTCGGATGTTATATTTCTAATTAATGCACGTTAAGATTGCTTTAATTTTAAAAATGTGTTTAATTATAAAATATTTTTTTAAAAATAGAAAAATACTACAATAAACCATTTGTGTCTCCCAAGATTGATTATAATTTTTTTTTTGCTGTTTTTTGCTTATCTTGTGGACTTAGAATTGTGGTCAGTCCAGATCCTAATTATACTTGTTTAGGACCTATTCTCCCATTTAAAAAAAAATACTTCAGTTGATTTCAGAGAGGAAGGGAAAGGGAGAGAAAGAAACATCAATGAGGAAAGGGAATCATTGATCGACTGCCTCCTGCTCGCCCCCTTCTGGGGATCAAACCTGCAACCCAGGCATGTGCCCTTTGCTAGTATCTAACCCAGGACCCTTCGGTCCACAGGCCGATGTTCTATCCACTGAGCCAACCAGCTAGGGGCTTATTCTCCTGTTTTGATGATCATAATAATAGCTAACATTTATTGACCTATTGCTATATGTGCCAAGCACTGTTTTAAACACTTCCTTGCATCTATTATTTTAACCTCCCAGTGACCCTATGAGAAAGCTACTAAACTTTTTTGTGTTTTATAGGTGAAGAAATAGGCACAGAGAGATTAATTAATTGCCTGAGGTCCAACAGTATTCAGTAGTGGAGCCTGTTTTTGACCCTGGAAGTCTGACTGAGAGCTCACTCTGTTAACGCCACCACGTTGCTAACCTTTAAGGTGATGCAGCATGGAGAATTAAACAGGATTATCCAGATTCAGCTAAAAGGTGAATCTTTGGTGTGATATACACAAAGTGGAAAATACCTCCCCTAAACACAACCACAGTCTAATGGAAAATAGGTGTTAAAAAGTAATTAAAGTTACGTATTTGGATTTCAGGAAATTTTAGTGAAGTAGAAATGTTTGAGTGACAAGTTATCAGAAAAACCCCCAGGAAAAGTGCTTTGTAAGGTATTGGGCCTTGAAGAGGTATTAGATTTAGGTTAGTAGGGAGGATCCTCGGTGGGAAAAGTCAGCTGAGCCAAGTCATGCAGATAGGATGGAGCATGAAGTGTGTAGGATGATAATGAAACCAACCTGGCTGGAATTGAATGTGATTAAGTTGAGTAAATTTGGGTGGGAATACAAAAGCTGAGCTGTATTCGGTAACACAGGTAATGGTTAACAGCAGAACTATGTCATGATGAAAGCTATATTTTGGAATACTCATCTGGCAGGTGAATGGGATTAGGAGATTACATTAGGAGAGTTAGAGTGACCAAATTAATGATAATAATAGCCAGTATTTATTGAGTTCCTATGTTTACCAGGAACTGTGCTAAGCTTTTCAAGTCTATTACATCAGTGTATCAGTTAGCTTTCATTGAATAAGAAACCCCAAAACTTTAGGGCTTAAAGTTCATAATAATGAACTTTTATTGATGGTGACTAACATTTATTTATTTATTTTTAATATATTTTATTGATTTTGTACAGAGAGGAAGGGAGAGAGATAGAGAGTCAGAAACATCGATGAGAGAGAGTCATCGACCAGCTGCCTCTTGCACACCCCCCACTGGGGATATGCCCGCAACCAAGGTACATGCCCTTGACCGGAATCGAACCCAGGTCCTTCAGTCCCCCAGCCGATGCTCTATCCATTGAGCCAAACCGGTTTCGGCGTGACTAACATTTATTGATGGTGACTCAGTTCTGAAGATTGGTTGCAGGACAATGTGTCCTTATAAACTTAATATTATTAAACTGCACGCTTTAAAAATGTTTAAATAATAAATGTTATATTATGTATACTTATCACAATTAACTAAAAATAATCAGTGACTTAAAATAACAACCATAATTGAGTTCACTATTCGCTAGGGGACCTGGGGAGTTCTTCTGGTCTGAGCCAGCTTGGTTGATTTCTACTGGGTTTGCTCAGCTGAACTATTTGGCTTGTGGTTGGATAATCCAGTGGTTTGCAGTCTGTAGGCTGGAGTGTCAAGGGGAGATTGGGCCATATGGGTCTCATCATCCAACAGGCTAGCCTCAGAACTCCACATGGCGACTAGACGAGTGCAAAGCCCAGTGTGCATGCACTTTTTAAGTCTCTGTTTGAGTCGCATTTGCCACTTGTTGGCCCAAAAAAAGATCCCATTTCCTAATTGAAAGAGCCACAAAATTGTGCAGCCATTTTATTTTCCACACCTAGTCAATCTCAACCACAACCCTAAAGAGATAGGCCTATTGTTACTTACATTCTGTAGACTAAGAAATGGTAGCTTAAAGTGATTAAATAACTTGTTGGTCACCCAGCTGCTATGCTCCTAAGTGGTGGTTGCAGGATGCCAACTGAGGTGTGTCTGAAGACCACCCTGTTTCTGGTTTGGAGGCCACCTGGGTGGGATAAAGAGCATAGGCTTTGACTGTTCCCAACAGCTGATCAGATGCCAGTGCTGTCACACGTGCTCCCAGCACATAGGCACTTCACGATTCCTACTTGCTGACTTCCCTTATCAATTCTGTTGTGTATTAGCTTTCTTGCTCCCTCCTTCCCTTCCTTTAACAAATATGTGGCTACCAATTTTATGCCAGATATTGTTCTGGTGTTGGAGATAGCAATGGTGAACAAGATTGGTGAAGACCTTTCTGTTATGAAACTTAGATTCTAGTGGAAGAGAGAATGGGGGGAAAGCAAATATACAATATTTCAGATGGAGATAAATACTATAAAGAAAAATAATAGGTCAGGGATCTGAGAGTCTGAAGTCAGAGAGTTTGTAGGGTTCATATTTGGGTCTAGAGAGTGGACTTCTGGGACATGCCACAGGACCCAGAATCAAGTCCTGGCCCACCTGCAGGAGCCTCGTAATTGAGAGAGACTAAGACCCGGCCAGCCCCACCCCGTCAAGCCCCGCAGGGCACAGCCTCAGGTCCCTGGGCCCCCAGCATGACAACCATTTGCGTATTAGCTCTTTGTTATATAGGATTTTTTTTTTTTTTAATATTCTTTTAGTTCCTTTTTTTTAATTTTAATTTTTTTATTTTTTTTTATTGATTTTGTACAGAGAGGAAGGAAGAGAGAGAGAGTGTTAGAAACATCGATGTGAAAGAGTCATCGATCAGCTGCCTCTTGCACACCCCCTACTGGGGATATGCCCGCAACCAAGGTACATGCCCTTGACCGGAATCGAACCCGGGACCTTTCAGTCCCCAAGCCTACGCTCTATCCATTGAGCCAAACCGGTCCCGGCTATAAAGGATTTTTAAAAATTGATTTCAGAGAGGAAAGGGAGAGGGAGAGATAGATAGAAACATCCATTTTGAGAGAGAATCATTGATCAGCTGCCTCCTGCACGCCCCCTGCTGGGGATCAAGCCTGAAACCCCCCCGCATGTGCCCTGGACCCTTCAGCCCACAGGCTGACACTCTATCCACTGAGCCAGACTGGCAAGGGCAAGGGTCCAGTGTTTAATGTTAACATTTCAAAGTGACTATAGGATATCCAGTGGATATGACATATGTATTTTTTAACCTCTCCTATTAGATACTTCAAATATTTTCCACTTCTCTTTTTAAAAGAATGTGGGGGAGATTGTGGGCATGTAGGAATGTATATTGGGAACTCTACACTTTCAATTTTCCTGTAATAATAAAACTACTCTAAAATATAATCTCTAAAACATGACACACATACACAGCAGTTTTTTCTTTTATGCTTGCATATCAGAATATGGTTTGTTTTGTTGTTTTTTTGTTGTTGTTCTGGAAAAACAGTACTTGTTTTTCTTAAGAAAGAATAAATTTCACGAAGCAGCTCGTTACAGCTCACTGATTTGAAAGGGAAAAGACATCTTAAAAGGAATAACTAGTTTTCCAGAGACTAGTATACGATTACCAGGTGTTAAAGAAAAAACAGCTGTACAAGTAGTTAAAGTGGTGAAAACAGATTTTACTTTAAAAAGCTGTTGCAATAGGGGAAAGAAATCTCATTATAGAACTAGGCTCAATTCTGAATACAAGGAAAAGTGGACATTTATAGTCAAGGAGCAGGCAGAGTGGAAGGGTCTTTGGAGGGAAAATTTCTAAGAGGAAACATCTGGGACAAGAGCTTTCTGACACAAAGACTTAATGGGATTCTTGCTGGGGGATGGCGGGGGAGGAGCCCGGTCAGACCAAGGCTGATCTGGTACCCAGGTTTGGGAAGTTTGGCCAAAGCATGTTAGCAGGATTTTTGCAAAAATTGGGCGATGCAAAGATAGACACACAAGTGCAAATGTGGAGGATTCAAGGGAGTTTTGACTAAAGTTTGCCCGCGGAGAGATGCTGTCACGGAGGAAAAAGCAAGCTATTTAAATGTGGGCTGTTTCGTTAGCAGCCTGTGGGTTCTGGGGAGAAGGGGAATGCGATGGAAGGGTTTGCCAGCCAGAGGCCGAGGGCCATGGCCAGCCGTGGGGCGGGGCCGGCCTCGGGGCGCGGGGCGGGATTCACTCCCAGCTCGGCCAGCCCCCGGCCTATTAAGGTGGAGGGAGAGCCCGCCCCGCCCCTGGGTGGGCGCCTCCCAGCTCCGCTGGGGTCTATGGAGGAAAAACGTTGCTCAGGCTGCACAATTCTGATGGCCGCAGCCGCCTGCGGCACCAAGGCCATGTCCCTCTTCAAGCGGACCTGGGTGCTGAGCCCCGCCGCGGCGCCGAAGGGCGCGGGCACCCCCTCGCGCTCCTGCCCCTGGCCTTCCAAGGACTGGACTCGGGGAGAGGGCGTCTGCGCTTGGCTGCGGCGTCCAGCGGCTGCCGGCTTCCTGCCCCCGTCCCACTCCTGCTCCTCGACCCCTGCTACCTCCGTGTGTCTTCTCTGCCCGCAGGACTCGCTCAGCAGCAGCTTGAAAACTTGTTACAAGTACCTGCGCCAGACCAGTCGCAGTTTTGCAGCTGTTATCCAGGCGCTGGATGAAGAAATGCGGTGAGTGGCTCCTACAGCGCTTGGAGTCTTTACAAGCGACTTGTTGATACAGCCCCCAGCATTGCACTGTGCGCTCGCTCGCGGCTGGTTAATGTGTGCCACTTCAGTAAAGGAAATGTTCCCAGGTGTTTGTTTACGTTAGGCTGCCCTTCCAGGCACCTCGCCATCTATTACTGTTCCTGCACGCCCCGCTCTTTCAAGGGAGGGGTGGGGGGAATGTTTATTAACCTTTCTTAGCCTTGGCCCGCGAACTTGTTTCTGAGCAGACCGTGCATTTTTCTTGGCTTCACTTAGACTTCTCTATGTTTCTAGTTTACCGGGTTAATTCTTTCCAAGTGGCCTCTGCAGATTACATTTATACATGAATTTAAACCAATTGCCTTTATGTATGATAGTGTTTATGTTAACAAGTTGTGTCTTTTTATTTTATCTGAAAAATATTAGTTCCATCTAAACATTTGGTCTTTTGGCCTTTGTACAATTCTACATTAGTTCATCGTAACTCAATCTGGGAGTAGTAATGACATCCAGCTGATAAGTTTATTTTATTTTATTTTTATAAATAAACCACAGAAGTCCATTGCTACCATCTAAGAAAAGAAAACTAAGATATCTCAAGTATGAAAGGCTGGCTGTTCTTTCAGAGTTCTGCAGAGTTAAGGGTTTAGAAAATGACCTGCTATAAATGAGTTGTTATTTCAAAATAAATAGCTTTGGAAGTTTGTTCCAATACATTAATAGTTCTTCCTTTTTTACAGCCATGCAGTATGCATATTTTATCTGGTTCTCCGAGCCCTGGACACTTTGGAAGATGACATGACCATCAGTATAGAAAAAAAAATCCCACTGTTGCACAACTTTCACTCATATCTTTATGAACCTGACTGGCGGTTCACGGAGAGCAAGGAGAAGGATCGACAAGTGCTGGAGGACTTCCCAACGGTAGTGGAATTAGAGATCTCTTCTGCCTATGGTTATTTTATAACTGATGATGCAATGTCAGCAGCCTGCATACCTGTAGAGAACAGTTAAATAAGCAATCAGAGGGCAATGCAATATAATGTGATTGCTAAACTAGACTGTCTGGGTTAGAGCCCCTACTCTCCCACTTACTAACTGGTGCTTAGTTACAAAGCCTTTCCAGTCCTCACTTTTAAAAATCTGTAACAGAGAGCTAATAGTACCTACTTCATAGTATTGTGAAGATTAAAAGAGTTAATAAAGCTCTGAGAATGGTGTTAACTACTGTTATTACTGGTAGAGTGTTTGGAAGTCCCATGTTTACTCCTGTGGAAAGATGCCTTCGAGTTCCAGTGTCATAAAAGATGGATTCTCAAGCTAACCCACAAAACCTGTTCACTATAATATAGTGCCCTGACTTGGGTACTGTAAGCCTGATGGCATGGGCAGCAGCTGTGGCGTAGGGAGCAGACACACAGCAGCTGGGGTGAGGACTGAAAAGCAAGAGATCCTCTGTGGCTTGTAGCGCTGTGAGGCTGCATAAGTTCCTTAACTTCTTGATGTCGCAGTTTTCTCATTTGTAACATTAAAGCTACCAGGATTGAATAAGCTCACATGTCTAAATTACTTAGAATAATCCCTGCCACATACTGAGTATTCTGGAAGTAATTAGGTGTTCGGTCCATTCTGTTGGAGTAAAGTGAGTTATAATTAAAACTCGAGTTTTAGGAAATCCCACAAGTTTATATGATACATGGGACAAGGTCCTGCTTTTCTGGATTTGCATGTCTTATACAAAAATAAGTGATTTCCTCATATCTTATGAAGTTTTGATATAGCAAAGTCTCATGTTCCCTAAGAGCCCAAAGAAGCCCTTCTGTATGTACATAGTTGCCAGGATTCTGGGGGAAGAATGATTCTTATATGGCTCTTGCTATTGAAAGAAATCTATATTCCTGAGTGGAGAGGAGAGGAATCCAATCATTATAAAAGAATGAGAAAGACTCCTTTGGAGCAAGGGCTGGTTCAGATTACTGAGATCATGTCTTCAGTGTCAAAGCCAAAAATACTATACAAAATAAGAAAAAAGTCTGAAGAATAATGAGAGTTGATACAGTACAATACAATATAAAAAGAAAGGAAAAGGATCTGAAAAATAATTAGGTAAGGAATTAGAGCTCACAGGTTTCTCCGTTATACTAGTAGTGGGCTTTCCTAGTATCCTTTCTTCATGCACTTGGGATCTCCCCAAGAACCTGCAAAATTGGGAAGAGAGAGAGATAGAAGAAGAAGAACCTGCAAAATTGTGAAACAATCACCTGGAGGGGTAAAAAAATAATAATAATAAAATAAAAATAGGTCCTGGCTCACTTCATTGGGCATAACTTGTTAATATTAGAGAATACGTGAAATGGGCTCGGAGTCTGGAGCGAGTCAGCAATGCTTTCTCCTTCCCTCAAGTTTCTGGGAAAATACAAAGCACTTCATTGCCACTCTTTCCTAGATATTTTTGTTTTCATTTATAAAATGTATAATTATGTATCAAGTACCAAAGAGTTGTTGGAGGGGATGGCTCAAATTCAGCAGTGAAATGTTTATTTTGGAGTGTTTGTTTTTAAGTCTGAGCTGCTGCTCCTCCCCCATGCCACTGGCCTTTCCTCTCTTATAAATAGAACTGGCCTGGCCAAGGATCTGTTGAAAGAACCGATCTTAGGGAGACTCAGGGATCCAAATAACCTTTGGTAGACTTGCTCATTTGTTTCAGTTCACAACAGGAATTGCCTTTGGTTTTGCTTGGAGCAGCTGTTCAAGAAAGAAAGTTCTGGAGAGAGTGGGTTGATTTTTTTTTTTTTTTTTTTTTTATGGAATTGTGGGGGGAGGGGAGTTTAACAGTTGATGTTCATAGAGTAACCCTAAAGTATCTTAGACTTCTGAATCCCTTTGGTGCCCTGCAACCAGCTGCTTTTTCCCCAGGTCCTTAAATTGAGGAATTTCCTGAGGAAGTTTTTCTAACCTTTCTGTAAACACAGATCAGGTATTTCTCTTTTGATGCAGATTAAAGTAACTTATAAACACTTTTTTTAACTTAAGGTATTTTGCAGTAGCAATGAATTTTAAAAACATCAATAGTACTTTTTTACATAAGAGCTTGGGCTATGGAAAAAAATGTTGGGTACCATGTCTCAGAATGAACTAAATTGAGTTGTGTAAAAGTTAAAAAGTGTGGCCTGATAGTGGAGGAGACACTAGCTTTGTGATACAAATTCAGGAACTGATGATAGAATATGGTTGGCTGATCACTGGAATATAAACTCTGCAGGATATGAGTTTCTGGTTATTTCTGGCTGGTTGTCCCATGTCTAGACAGTGCTTATTACATAGGAAGTACTAAATACATTAGTACAAATGAATCGTCACTATTATGAGGTTTATTTGAAATGAAGCATTCTTCCTAAAATTACATTTATGCTCAGTTTTATGTTGAAGCATTTCATTTATTAAATATTAGATGAAAATATATATATATATATATATATATATAGTGAGACTGAATTTTCTTGAGTCTAGAAACTAGCATTTTTAGACCCTTCTATTTTAATATTTTTAAATTTACTGAGTTTATTATTCAATATGTAGAAATATTGATGTTAGTTAGGCATAATCTAGATGTTAGGCTTATAGATGAATCATTTGGGCGCCTTTATAAGTTTACTACTGCTTTGCTTTATGATCTATAGGTATTATGTTGGTTCCCATTGTAAATATATATTTCCTGTTTTTTATATCTCCCTTTCAGATCTCCCTCGAGTTTAGAAATCTGGCTGTGAAATATCAAACAGTGATTGTCGACATTTGCCGGAAAATGGGATTTGGGATGGCAGAGTTTTTGAATAAGGACGTGACCTCTGAAGAGGAGTGGGACAAGGTTAGTGTCCCTATAAAGCGGTGTCAGGGGCATAAGACAGAGCTGGCAGTCCTCATCATAAAGTTCAGAAGGAGAAAGTTATCCACTAGTTCCAGATTTTCTGGTTTTGCAATCCATTTATTTTGTCATTTAAAAATGAATTTTATTGTTAATTAGTGAGAGAGAGAGAGAGAAAGAGAGAGACACATTGATTTATTGTTCCACTTATTTATGCACTTGAGGCCCTGGTTCATAGATTCATGCACTGGTGGAGTCCCTAGGTCTGGCCTGTGCTGTGCCCTCTCACAATCCGGGACCCATCAGGGGATGTTGGAGAGCTTGTTTCAGCCAGAACCCACAGGACAGGCCCAGAGACCCCACTGGTGCATATAAGATGTTTGGTTAATCTCTTCCCACCCTTTCCCCTCCCCTCTCTGAGATTATCAGTCTATTCCACATTTCCATGCCTGTGGTATCCCCTCTTGCGTTGAGCATCTGTCCCCTGGTTGTCAGTGCATGTCATAGCTACTGGCTGGCCGGCAGGTTGACTGGTCACTTAGGCTTTTATATATATTCCTTGGTTGATTCCTGTATGTACCCTGAATGGGCATTGAACCCACAATCTTGGTGCAAATTGTTTTTGTTTTTGTTTTTAATCAAAATGAGATCTTATACATTCTGTTTGGAGACTCTACTTTTGTAGCTAATGATCTCTAGTATTTTCATTTTAGTAAAAAATTTATTATTAAAGTACTTTAAAACTAATCTTTTACAGTACTGTCACTATGTTGCCGGGCTGGTGGGAATTGGCCTTTCTCGTCTGTTCTCGGCCTCAGAATTAGAAGACCCCTTAGTTGGTGAAGACACAGCGTGTGCCAACTCCATGGGCCTGTTTCTGCAGAAAACAAACATCATTCGTGATTATCTAGAAGATCAGAAAGAAGGAAGAGAGTTCTGGCCTCAAGAGGTAACAAATTCAGGGGACTTGGGGGAAAATAATTTAAAACACTTTCTGATAACAAATCCCATTAAACTTCTTTGATTGCAAGTGACAAAAATGCAAATCAAAGTACTACCTTTAACAACATAAGAGAATGTATAAGGTAGGCTAAGATTTCATTTGCTTCTTGTAGATAGATTGGCTGAATCCAGGGATTCAGACTGTGAATCAAGCTCTGTGTCCTTTCTCTTGGCAGCCATTCTCCAAGGGGGGGGGGGGGGGGGCTATAACAATCCATAACTCACAACCTACTAGCTTAAAAAAAGTTCTTAGGAAGGTCTGATTCATAGGGCAAAGTTCCCTCAGTCAGTTACTAGAAACAGAGGGCTGAGTACTTTGTCCAGACCTGGATTATATCTTCTCAACACACACACAATGGATTCCTGGCCGCCTCCATCCTTCTAAGCAAGAAGGATTCTAGAGCAAGAAGAGGGAAAAATTGACACAGATAGTAGGGGGCTGAAGGTGCCCGCAACCAATGTACATGCCCTTGACCGGAATCGAACCTGGGACCCTTCAGTCCGCAGACCGACGCTCTACCGCTGAGCCAAACCGGTTTCGGCGGTCATGTGTCCTTTTTATTTGAAGGTCAGCTTCTCTGGATGTAAAGCCTTGAGCTCACATTTTTTAGTATCCTAAATCTGTTACTCCAGTTTTCTTCTGCTTTAAAGAAGCAGATTTTTCAGCTGGCTATAGAAAAATCTAAGGATAACTTGATTTTCTTTTCCTTATAAAGTCATGGATTCTTTCTCTCTTTCCTTGGTGGTCACTATCTAGATCCATTATCATTGCACATGCCAAGTGGTGCCATCCTAATTCTATCATGCTTTCTGCATTTACCAGCTGAAATTTTAAATTTTACAAAAATGATGATCATGAGGGCAGTTTGGTGTTTGGATTTTTCCAAATTTTCACAAAAAGTTATAAAAGCAATTCGATAAAAAAAAACACAACAGCCCAGAATCTAGCCCAAGGATAACATGTTCAGAAGCACTAAGTTTACAGCATACCCAGGAACTTCAAGTGGGTACAAAAAAATATACCAACACCACAGACAAAACCTGTCCTGCCACCTGCACAGGAGAGAGCAAGGGTTGGCTGCATGGTGTGTAACATTTGAAAGCAGGGGAGGCCTCAGAAGAGCTGGCAAGTTGAGATAGTGGGATAATTTGAACACTAGAACTTTTTTTTTAATATATATATATATTTTTATTGATTTCAGAGAAGAAGGGAGAGATAGAAACATCAATGATGAGAAAGAATCATTGATTGGCTGCCTCCTGTACACCCTAGGAATCAAACTGGTGGTCTCTTAGGTTAATGTTCTACCACTGAACCACATCAGCTGGACCAGATATCTTGTAATTGGTATTTAGTATTCATTGTTAATTTGTCGGTGTGATAAGATGTGTACAGGAAAGGTTCCTAGTCTTTTTAGAAATTCATAATAAAGTAATTGTGGATGAATTGACATATCAAGGCTTTAATTTAAAATAATCCCAGGGCTGGGGTAGGGGAACAAGTTTGGCCAGGTGTCAGTAATTGCTGAACTTGGTAAATGGAGACATAGAACCTAATTTCTCCAGTACCATCAATCTTAGTGGGTTTAGATGCAGGTTAAGATTGGATAACACTTTTGACTTTCCATAGAATAAGAATTTCTTAGTCTTTTTAGGCCTAATCATTGATTCTGGAGAGTGTGTTCTTTAGGAAGCTTGAGAATCCTATATAATAAAAGGCTGATATGCAAATTATCCCCTCAGTAGTTCAACCACTCGCTATAACATGTGCTGACCACCAGGGGATTGATTTGCATATTAGGCTTTTATTATATAGGATATAGGATTATCAAGCAAATCCTAAAATGAGGACGTTATTTAACTTTTTCAGAATAAAATGTTATATTAATTTTAAAGAGAGAAAGAGAGGGAAAGAGATAGAAACATCAGTGCATCATTATCAGCTGCCTCCTGCATGCCCCTTTTGGGGATTGAGCCCATAATCTCAGCATGTGCCCTTCCAGAAACTGAACTGGCAACCTCTTGGTGCATGGGATGACATTCAATCACTGAGCCACACTGGACAGGCTGTTATTTCACTTTCAAGATCCAAGGAGGTGTAATGTTCTTAGAGTAGAGACCCAGCTCTTTTTCCTGCGTATGCTTGTTCAGTAGCATTCTTATCAGAATTGGGAATGTAGTGTTAAACATTAATTATTTTGAGGCCTGGCAAGCTTGAGAATGTTTAGCTTGTACCATTGTAGTCTATCTTGTATGTATCTGGTTATTTTTTTTTTATTTTTTTTATTTTTATTTTTATTTAATTTTTTAAATTAAATTATTATCTGTGTACATATTTTGCCAGTGACCCCCCCCCCCTCCCATACATACCCTCCCTTCCCAGAGCGTATCTGGTTATTCTTTCAGGAATAGACTAATGCCTTCTAGATAACAGGAGGCCTCTTTAGTTGGAGGCTATCAAAGTATTGCTTAGTTCTTGCTGTACTAATTGTCCCAAAGGGACACTTTCCCAAGTACTTTATGTTCTCTTGGGTTGTGATTAGTCCTTGACTTGTAGTTATAAATAGCCATTGGGTGTAGTTTAAAATGGACTAAATCTTGGTAAAAGATGAGGCAGCAGCTAAAGAAGATTCAACTGTGTATCAATAGTTCTTATTCACAAAGATCCTTTCATGTTGCTTGTACATTTTTCCTCTGTGCACATCTTGATTTGTTTTTGATCTTTTTATCTGTCTAGGTTTGGAGCAAGTATGTTAAGAAGTTGGGTGATTTTGCTAAGCCGGAGAATATTGATGTGGCCGTACAATGTCTAAATGAACTTATAACCAATGCTCTACACCACATTCCAGATGTCATCACCTATCTTTCCAGACTTAGAAACCAAAGTGTGTTTAACTTTTGCGCTATTCCTCAGGTATGGAATAAGGCTGTGCTTGATGTATATGGGAAATAGAGGTTAAAGGGAGTGGGGTGGTGGTAGTGATGGGGGTGGGTAGAATGCATCTATTACTATTTTGGTCTGCTGTATTCAGGAATATGGTTCTTTAAAAAGATGACTCTAGTTTATTTTCTTTGACTGGGGGCAGTCAGTGTTTCAAAATACTTCCCTTTGCCCTGTAACTACCTCACTCAGCTAAGCCTCAAGGTGAAGTCTGCTCCTTCTCTATATTTATGGGGAATGCTGAGTAGGTGAAGCTATTATCATGAAAAAGTCTTAACGAAGCACCTAAAATTTGCTATCCTATTTTTAAGACTCGGGCTAACAGAAACTGATCTTATGGGTCTAGCCCCTTGATGCTGTAGGAGCTTACACTGAAAATGCCTTTACCAGCCCGGCTGATGTGACTCAATGGATTGAGCGTCATCCCATGGACCAAGAGGTCTTGGGTTTGATTCCTGGTTAGGACACATGCCTGGGTTTCAGGCTCCATCCAGTAGGGATGTGGGCTTGCAGGGATCAGTGTGTCTCATTGATGTTTCTATCTCTGTCTCCTTCTCCTTTCCTCTCTGACATCAATTTAAAAAAAATACTTTTACCAGTTTCCTTTATTTTTTGTTTTATTTTTTTTAATTCTCACCTGATGAAGTTTCTCCATTGATTTTCAGACAGAGTAGGCGGAGAGGGAAGGAGGGAAGGAGGAAGGGAGGGAGGGAGGGAGGGAGAGAGAGAGACAGAGAGACAGAGAGAGGGAGGGAGGGAGGGAGGGAGGGAGGGAGGGAGGGAGGGAGGGAGGGAGGGAGGGAGGGAGGGAATGGTTCTTGGAACTAAGACCTGTGTGCCTGATTTAGGTTTTCATTTATCTTGAAATTTACCTTTGAGCATGGGAAACTACCTTTGGTTTCTTTTGTCTCCCTCCCCCCACTATGATATTTTTAAACGTATAATGATTATGTTCATTGTAGGAAAAATAGGATGAAAACAAAATAGAAAAATCATATTAGATATTTTTGGAGAATACTTTTCAGATCTAATAACTAGCATGGTAAATGTTACATTGGTTTTTTCCAAATAAAAAAAAAGGACTTTCATGACTAAACTATGGAATCATTTAAGACTGCAAAGACCACGTAATTATTTTGTGTGGTTGAAAAAAAGAGGGGGGGGGGGCAGGTAAAAAGTCTTGACATACTTTCTTCATGGGAATTTTTCTTGGTTAGTTATTAGTTACATCTTAGTTCTTTGGCAGCTCTTTCTATAGAAGATTGTATTGCCTTCTCGTGATGATGAATGCCTACAGAGCCACTTCTTTTGTTTTATGAAATGATATGAGTTAATTAGTGTTTTTGTCCTCTTGTTTCTTGTCTGTAGGTAATGGCCATTGCTACTTTGGCTGCCTGTTATAATAATCAGCAGGTGTTCAAAGGGGTAGTGAAGATTCGAAAAGGACAAGCAGTAACCTTGATGATGGATGCCACCAACATGCCAGCTGTCAAAGCTATAATATACCAATACATGGAAGAGGTGGGCTATTGAACTGCTTGGATAAATTGTAGCTATTTTTATGATTTACATGGTGTGCACTTGTTTAAACATGTCATTTGGGTATTAGATGACCCTAACAGCTCACTGTGTTATGTAGAAAAGAAGTAGGAGTTGGTGGTCTTTAGTGTGTGTGTGTGTGTGTGTGTGTGTGTGTGTGTGTGTGTGTGTTGGGCGGGGGGGGGGGGGGGTGTAAAAGTCAAATCTCTAATAAAATATGACTAGGTTGAAAAGAGCTTTTTTTCCTCCCCAAGGCTAAAACTAATCGCAAGGCCCTAGAATGGTGGTCCTCAATGCAGTGGTTTTGCTTCCACCAGGGGACCTTTGGCAATATTTGGAGACATTTTTGATTGTCAGCTGAGCTGGGGATGGCTACTGCCAGCTGGAGAATGGAGGCCTTAATATGTTCTTTTGAAGATTGAAATACTACAGAAGTATTTGAAAACATGAAATGACTTGTTTCACTCCTCTCTTCCCAGAGATCACCTCTGTCAATAGTTTTCTACATCCTTCCGGTCCCCTGGTTACACCTTTATAGGGATGTGATTTATAATAGTGGGGTCATCCAAAACAGAATTCTGACCCCAAAACTGTTATTTCTTCGGATATCTATTGCACATTGCACATACTCCTGTGTTTCCTCTCTGTCTTTTATCTGACAAGTTTTGGACCCCAGCATTTATACCAGAGACACCTGTAGAAGGTACAAGAGAAAACCAATTTTTTTTTTAAATCCTAAAATTCTTTTAGTGACTGGATGACCAAAATATTGCTGCTGATGATACTTGAGACAGTCCAGTTCACCAAATGGGCAGCACTTATTTGGGGGGTAGCACGTAGCCTGGCATAGCAATATTGAAGTATTGAATAGTATTGAAGTGAAGGAACTTGAGGCCCTAACCCCAATGGAGCCATAATTTGGGCCCAGTTCTTCCTGACTTCACAACCTATTCTGTCCATGATGTTCATGATCCTAAGGGGTTGAATTAACCTTTCAACACTGGATACAGTTGGCCCTCCAAATTCTGTTTCTACATCTGGGATTTAACCAACCACAGATCAAAATTAATTATGGCCCTAGCAGGTTTGGCTCGGTTAATAGAACATTAGCCTGTGGACTGAACGGTCCTGAGTTCAATTCCAGAAGGGGATGTGCAGGAGGCAGCTCATCAGTGATTCTCATTGATGTTTCTTTCTCTCCCTTTCTCTCTGAAATCAATAAAAAATATTTTTTTAAAAATAATTAGGGAAAAAAATTAGGTTGTTGCTGACAAGTACTGTATAGTTAAATCTATGGTGTGTTTGTCTATATTGAAGATATACAGACTTTTTCTTCTTGTTATTACCTAAACAATTCCCTAACAACTATTTACATGACAATTACATTATATTAGATGTTATAAGTAATCTAGAGATGATTTAAAGTATACACAGGAGGATGTGTTTAGGTTATGTGCAAATACTATGCCATCCTATATAATAAAGGCTAATATGCAAATTGACCAAACTGTGGAATGACCGGTTGCTATGACGCGCACTGACCACCAGGGGGCAGACACTCAATGCAGAAGCTGCCCCCTGGTGGACAGTGCACTCCCACAGGGGGAGCACTGCTCAGCCAAAAGCTGGGCTCATGGCTGGCAAGCTCAGCTGTGGTGGTGGCACCACTAACGATGTCCGACTGCCCGCTTAGGCCCATTGTGGACATCCCCCAAGGGCTCCAGGACTGCGAGAGGGCACAGGCCGGGCTGAGGGTATGAATTTCGTTCACCGGGCCTCTAGTTTTATATAAAGGACTTGAATGTTCTTGAAATTTGGTCTCTTTGCAGGGTCCTGGAACCAATTTACTGCATATACCAAGGGATGACTGTAATGCATTCTGGGCACTATTCATTTTATATGAATTAGAAACATTTTCTGTAGTACAAAGTTCAGGGAATGTTTTAATTTCAGTTTTATTTATCATCAATTTTTAGAAAACCATTTTTAAAAATATATATTTTATTGACTTTTTACAGAGAGGAAGGGAGAGGGATAGAGTTAGAAACATTGGTGAGAGAGAAATATCGATCAGCTGCCTCCTGCACACCTCCTGCTGGGGATGTGCCAGTAACCAAGGTACATACCCTTGACCAGAATCCAACCTGGGACCTTTTAATCTGCAAGCTGACACTCTATCCACTGAACCAAACCAGTTAGGGCAGAAAACCATTTCTTAAAATGCTGTAGGCAGTTCTATATTAAAATTCAATTTTATTTTGTATTTTCCTTAACTATTGGAATGAAATTCTAGGTGTGATTTACAGTTGGATTTAGGGTAACTGGGCCAGCCATGACTGGTTAACCTCATTTTTGTTTTAGAATAAAGTCACACCTGTTGCTCTACATATTGTCCGCTACCGGTAACAATACAGTGGCAGAATGGACTAACTGCAGCAGGGCAAATAGTTTTTGGTTCTCTAAGAAAAAAATTGCTGGCCTTTGATTTTGGGCATCACATATTTTGTTTAATCTGTCTAAGAATTGTTTACATTTATGACATTTTATGCATTCTAATATATAGAGGCTTATAAGGGTATGGCAAGAATAGGTGTAAAAGGAACTATTCTAGCTCATGGCTGAGGAGGAGAAATATAAGGGGATTTTGACCTTTTATTTAATTTTTATATTCCTTGTTCTTACAGTATAGTTCCATCATCTAAATTTTGTTTTGAAGAATTACAGTTTTATCCCTCTCTTTTTCTCTATATAGTTGTCCTTTGTAACATAATATTAGATATACAAAACTAGCATATTTCTTTATTTCTTTGTTATATGAAATTGCATCTGTGCTTTTGGGTGGGGAAGAAGGAAGATGGCAAGAATAAATATTTTTGAGAAAAAGTACCTATTCTATAATGACAAATATGAAAAACAATTTTTTTTTTTTAATTCCTGCTCTGTGTTCTTCACCCACTGCCTATCCCTCAGCTCAGATCATCACTTCCCATCTTACTAACCTCCTAACTGCTTTGTCAGTTTGAGTCAGTAAACATTTATGGAGGGCCTACTGTGTGCCAGGCACAGTGCTAGGTTGGAGGTAAGAAGATGAATAAGAGGAAATGCCTTTGAGCTTGCAGTCTAGTTAGGGAGCAGCTAGATGATTTCAATGTAAGAGATAAGGTAAGACTATGTACAGGAGAGTGGCGCTAGGCCCAACGGGGGAGGAATGTCAAGGCAAGTTTTCTAGAACAGCGGTTGCCAACCTTTTGGACCTTATGGACCACCAATGGCCCGCAGACCGCTGGTTAGCAACCTCTGCTCCGAAAGGTTTCCTTAAACCAGTAGTCACCAACCTTTCGGACCTCACTGACCACCAGTTGGAGACAACTGTTCTAGAAGACATTGATAAAATTAAGTCTTGGGCAATAGGTAAGAGCCAGGTAAAGGAGTGTGGGAGCAGCATTCCAGCAGAGGGAGTGGTGTGAGCAAGGAAAGGAACAGTGTGCAGCAGTAAAACAACAGGCCTTTGTTTCTCGGGTGTGAAGAAGGAAGGGTGTGGCGGGCCCAGGGAATTGGGGCCTTGTGCTCTACATCAGGAGCTCAGACCTTACTAGCTGGCGATAGGGAGCCCCTGAGGTTGTCAGCGGAGGTTTTAGGTCTCTGGCTGTGGAGAACAGATGAGTGGGTTTTGGTAGTCCAGCATAGAGGCAGGAGCTCAATTTGGAGGCTGGTATCACCCAGAGGAGAGTCCCTGGGGGCCGAACCAGGGGCTGTAATTAATTGGAGGCATGTGGAGGAGGAGTGGGCTCAGCAGACGTTCCAGAGGTTTGCAGTGGAGGTAGGTGTGGAGGCGCAGGGAGGACTTTAGGATGACTCAGGTGACCTGTTTCTGCTCTTGCCTTTCTTCAACCAGTCTGTTGCTCATCCCACAGATTCAGTCTTGTCCTAAGATGTGTCTGCTAGTCTTTCCGGTATCGTTTCCCCTTCGTCATATGAAACTATGCTGGCATTACCAAGCACCTGCTGTGCTCCTGGCTGTGGGAGGTGTGGAGAGGGATGACCATTGAGGACCAGTGGCTCCCGGGGCAGCATGGCTCAGACCCCCCTGCTTGCTCCATAAGGCAGGCTTTGGGACTACACAGGCCTGGGTTGATATCCTGCCCTATTAGTGGAGTGACCTGGGGTTGTTACTTTCATGTTTTGTTTAGTAAAAGGGCATAAAATCCCTATCTGTTTGGAGTTGTTGTAAGAAGTCAACACACTACGTTTATATAGGTCCTAGGACTCATTAAGTAGCACTTACTGTCTTTTCCTTTTAACAGATCTATCACAGAATTCCCAGCTCGGATTCATCTTCCAGTAAGACAAGACAGATCATCTCCACCATCAGAACACAGAATCTTCCCAGCTGTCAGCTGACCTCCCGAAGCCACTACTCCCCCTTCTACCTGTCGTTTCTCATGCTCTTGGCTGCCCTGAGCTGGCAGTACATGAGTGCCCTGTCTCAGGGCACAGAAGACTACGTTCAGACCGGAGAACACTGACTTGTTAACATGAAATAGACTGACCTTTTTTTCAAGGATGGATATTGATGTCCTCTTTTCTCCCCTCCTGCTTTAATCCTGTAATTCTGTGGGCTCAGACCCTGGGAAACTGTGACATGCAGCTGAGGTGAGAATAAAAGAGGGAACCTCACCCTCAGCACCTGGGACCTGGGGGTTGTGCTCACCTGTGCTCGGTGGCCGAGGGGAGCACTCAGTGGTGTGGGTCGGGAAGTCATTGCACTGGGCCTGCTGACAGATCTGTGTGCATCCTGACTAGAGTTGTAATTAAATGTATTTAATTTGAAGCTTCCTTTGAACTCTGTTTATTTCTTTTCTCATTTTTTCTTCCATTGATTTGAAGGTAATATCTGTGAAGTTTACAGCTCTAGGTAATTTTTCTGTTTCCTAAGAATGGCAGACTATGTTCTGCACATGAAGACTGGGAATTAACTTCTGGGTGTTCTGGTATTTTCTTCTTTGAAGAGGTTAACTTTCAGAAAGATTGCCTTAGCCCCATTGTTGAAGATTGGTCTCTTCAAGGCTGTTTTTGAGATTTTGTAGAATAATGAATTGAAATACTCTGCAGTGGTCAAATGCAGTTCACTTGAAAGCTTGGGTGAGTGTGGCAGATAAAGGAACTCAAATATGGAATTAGTGCTTGAAGGACAGATGGTACCACGATGGCACCTGGCGCAGTACCAATAAGGACACAGCTGCCTGGCCCCTGCATGATGGCCTGCTGGGAGCTGGGAGCTGCTGGGAAAGGGGCCCGTGGCAGCCACCCCACCCTTCCAGCTGGTAGCCTGTTTAGCTGCCAGTCTTCTCTGCTTTTGACCAGTTCCCTTAGCTGCATTCAGGGTTTTAAACTCAGCTTTTCTTTTTGTACCAATTTATACACTGAAGTCTCGAGAAAGGCAAAAACCATGTTTAGGTGATTGGCTTGAAAGCTGAATGGTACTTAGCCAATTCTCCTAGCGCTGTGTTCACCTTCCTCCTTCCCCTGCCCAGCTCGCACCCACAGTGCCTCGCTGAGCTCTCAGCTTGGACTAGGGAGAGACCTGGCCCCACTTGGGTGCCTGAAGCCCCTCAGCCTGAGAATCCCTTGTAGGGCATTCCAGGGCTTTATAGAAGCCAGTAGTGCTTTGGGTGTATGTGGCATATAGCCTCCTCTTTGCTGCAGTCATTTATGAAGTGACTTAGTGAATTTGAGGTTTTTCCAGCAGTGGTGTTGGAGTTGCATTGCCCACACTGATTTTCCTCCTGTGACAGCCGTCACTGGACAGTTGGCTTAGTTTTTCGGTCCAGGGAAGCTTCAGATAATTGGTTCATTTGAGGCTCATCCCTGGACAAACTAGTGACTTGCCATGTACCCGTCATTCAGCTGTGAACCAGACTCAAGAGCAATCTTGGTTCAAAACTTGGTTCGAGCCAAAACTGGCTTGGTTCAGTGGTAGAGCATCGGTCTGCGGACTGAAAGGTCCCAGGTTCGATTCCGGTCAAGGGCATGTACCTTGGTTTTGGGCACATCCCCAGTAGGGGGTGTGCAAGAGGCAGCTGATCGATGATTCTCTCTCATCGATGTTTCTAACTCTCTATTCTCTCTTCCTCTCTGTAAAAAAATCAATAAAATATATATTTTTTAAAAACACACACACAAAAAAAAACAAAACTTGGTTTGAGATTCTAGGACAGGAATTTGTGTGAAGTCTAAGGTGAGTTCTGAAGTTCCAGGTGGACATCCTGGGAGTTTCTCCTGTGGCTCAGCCATGATCTATGGGAATTGCTAAATTTATGATTTGGTGACCTTAGTCCCTCTCAGCTGGAAAGCAGTGTAATTTTTACTGTCACTGTGCAGAGGTCTTCGATCTCAGGCCCACACCTATCTTCCCTTTCTTGAAACTTCAGATGTTTTCCTTTAAATGTCTCTCTACTAAAAGTGCCAGATGAAATGCAAGGTAAAACCCAGTTATAACTCAGATAAACTTAAGTATTGTATCGCATGAGACAATATTTGTTTGCTTTGGCAGCACACATACTAAAAAAAAATGTTTGAAATTCTATTCAAATTGAACATTTGCTGAACCTGTAACTCTGCCCTTTATAGCACACTTTAATCCTAGCCAATTCTCCTAGCGCTGTGTTCACCTTCCTCCTTCCCCTGCCCAGCTGTTTTGATGTACTCGCACCCACAGTGCCTCGCTGAGCTCTCAGCTTGGACTAGGGAGAGACCTGGCCCCACTTGGGTGCCTGAAGCCCCTCAGCCTGAGAATCCCTTGATAATAGAGGTAATATGCAAATTAATCCCCACATCATCACAAGATGGATGCACGAACAGCAGAGGGGGGGGGTGAGTGATCAGCTGGGACCTGAGGCTGTGTGGCGCCAGGTGGGGTGGGGAACCTGAGCTGCACCAACCCAGTGGAGCTTGATGGGGAGTGGGGTCAGCCGGGTATGGGTCTCACATTATTTCCAGGTGGGTGAGTGGGAACTTGACTCTGTGGTTCCATAGTGCACGCCAGACTCTTGACAGGAGTTAGATTTTCATACACATTTTACTAATTTTCTTTCATCTCTGACACTTCTATTATAAAGGGCATATAACAATATTAAAATATTTCCTCTAATCTTTTTTTTTTTTTTTTTTTCAGCCTGGCCAGTGTGGCCTAGGGTTAGTTTTATATATATATATATGTATATATGTGTGTGTGTGTGTGTGTGTGTGTGTATATATATATATATATAATTTTTACCGAGAGGAAGAGAGTGACAGAGTTAGAAACATTGATGAGAATCATCGTTCAGCTGCCTCCTGCACACACACACACACACACACACACACACACACACCCCACTGGGGATGTGCCTGCAACCAAGGTACATGCCCTTGACTGGGATCGAACCTGGGACCTTTCCGTCTGCAGGCTGACGCTCTATCCACTGAGCCAAACCAGTTTCGCCTAATAATTCCCTTTTAATGTGCATGAATTTCGTGTACCAGGCCACTAGTGTAATTAATAAAATGTATAGCATTCCTGGCATGCAATTTACTGATTCCTCCTCACAGTGGTAGCTAAAGTAGTGTCAATGATAACTTGGTTTATTGATGCTGATCCCTATTTTTTTTTCCTAACAAAAACTCCTTAAGCCAAGTGTGAAGATGGCCTGCGAAGTGTGAAGATGGCCTGCAATTCATCTTGTTACATTATTGTGCACATCCCTCCTGGCTTCCAGGATGAGGATGGAGTAGGGAACACTGTGGAGGTAGGAGAAAGTATGTAAAAATGGAATTATTCAACTCAGTTTGGGAGTAGTAGAATAACTAAATTGAGGCTATGAATATATTTCTCATCTAAATGTTAATGTTATGAATTCATAGCTTTTCCTACAGTGTTCGCTGGATGTTAAGTTGTTATTTAGGAGCTTCTGATTCTTGAGAGTCACATCATAAGTCAAACTTGGCATGATTTTGGGGAAGGGAAATAAGATACTGATAGGCCAGGGGGGTGGGTATAGATTCTTTAAGTTTCCTCTGTTCCCCTCAAGAACTGATGTACCTCACAGCTTATGGTTTTTAGATAGACCTATCAAAGTAATATTTAAAGTCACAGGGAACTTGCAAAATAACGCACCAAGCTCTGCCTCCACCCCATTCCAGCAGGGGGTGATGACAGGGAAAAGCTGGTCCTCCAGCAGGACTTGGGCTGTGTGACAGGGACTAAAAAGACAGAAGGGGTCCTGGGTTCGATTCCGGCCCAAAGGCATGTACATTAGTTGCGGGCACATCCCCGGTAGGGGGTGTGCAAGAGGCAGCTGGTCGATGTTTCTCTCTCATTGATGTTTCTAGCTCTCTGTCTCTCTCCCTTCTATCTAAAATATCAATAAAATATATTTAAAAAGACAGAAGCTCTGGCCGGGTCCGGTTTGGCTCAATGGATAGAGCGTCGGCTTGGGGACTGAAGGGTCCCGGGTTCGATTCCGGTCAAGGGCATGTACCTTGGTTGCAGGCACATCCCCAGTAGGGGATGTGCAAGAGGCAGCTGATCGATGACTCTCTCTCATCGATGTTTCTAACTCTCTCTCTCTCCCTTCCTCTCTGTACAAAACCAATAAAATATATTAAAAAAAAAAAAAAAAAAAGACAGAAGCTCTGGTCTGAAAGAGTGATGGAGCGGAAAGAAGCTAAAATGAGGTATTTACTTTGTTCTCAACTGACAGCCCTGGTGGAGTTTAAAGATCCATAAGCCCATGATTTTTTCTGGGGGATAAGGATAAACAGCAGCCACACACCTACAGACAGTGACAAATGACCTTTGAGGTCCCACCAGAACAGCATTGAAGGAGAAACCTTTTATTGGCACAGAATTCATTTAATAGGGCACAGCAGTGATTTTTAAACAATAAAGGCTGGTTTCTCTCTATGTGTTAAGAGGTCAGTAAGTCAGTCAAATCAAGACCACCCAGTTTTTTTAAGAAGACAGTTGGGAAAACTAAGTTCAGCTCTTCCAACATTAGACTACTTCATTCTCATGATCAGCTGAGGTACACAAAAAAATATAACTTCTATTTAAAAAGGATCATGCCAAGATCAGAGCAGGTTAGCAACACTGCAAAGCTCGACAGATGCAGGGGCGCTGGGAGAGTGGCTTTTTTCAAAGGGCTGCCCCACTGTTTCTTCTCAACGTATTTCCAAATCTAGAAAGCTGCTTGCTCGGTGGTGCTGCTGATGGTGGGATGTGTGGGAAGCTACCATTAGGAAATCCACCTTTCGTTCCTTTGGAAAAACTCCGAACCTGTAGGCCTATCATGCTCCCTGGTGATGCACAGCTGGAGAAGGATGAAGGATGTGGAGGTGGTTGCAGGAAGAGCCGAGCAGCACTAGTCTAAGGGGGAAGGACTTGCTTTGCTTGTAGCAATGGTTTAAACGCATTGTGACAACAGTCCACTGAGTGGCCTAGGAGGTAGCCAGGCCTTGAATTTGTCTCCTTGGAAGACTGCTCTCATGATAGACAAGGTTTGGCCCAATCCAGTCTTTCAGGCCCTGTCTAAAACCCATTTGTACTCAAAGAATAAAAGACATTCCTATCCCTCATCTCACTCCCAGCCCCACTGCCCCGAGGCTGGCTGGAAGGGCCCACAGCAGGTTAGATCCTTTTCCAGTACTGGTCCGTGCAGGGGAGTCCAGCCACGATCTCCGACTCAATTCCACAGTGATCCTGTCCTCTGAGGATCTTAAAGAAGCCTAGAAAGCAAAAGGAAGAAGCCTGTAAAGTGCGCCGGGGTCTGGGGCCAACAGATTCAGACTCATCCCTGAGAGACCCAGGAGCAAAAGCCACCTAACAGGCACCAAACCAGCACCAGGTGCTCTATCAGCTTCCACTGTCTGCACAGCAGCCCTGCTCCACATCAACCTCATGTCACGTGGTGCAAGGGGGAAGGGGTGGGGAGTGGCAGGCACAGCAATCTGAAACTGTGCCCTGTATCCTACCCCACCCCTCTCAGGATCAGAAGCTGCCCTTGCGGGGGAGGGAAACCAGCCCACTAGGCACCTGGACACCTGGAAGGTCAGATAAGCCTAGGGTTTGGAGCTGTGCAGTGAGGAGAGCAGAGGAAGGTAAGATGACAACTGTGTTCTGGCTCATAACACCCTCTTCTTAGCAGGAAGGGAGCGGCCACTCACCATTGTCACCCCAGTCGGTGTTCCAGGAGTTGCCGACCAGCCAGTAGGGGGTGCCATTCTCCACCCCCCAGCCCAGAATGCGGACTGCGTGGCCTCCCACCATTTCTCCAGTGACATGCTGGTACACGCCTGAGGAAAGAAAACACCAGTCAGGCTGAGACCCAGCAACTGCCCCATCCCTCACAGCACCCCTCCAACGTCAGCTGGCTCCCCAGGCAGGATAATCAGGGCCCCAAAGGCCTACTATTGTCTCAAAGTTTGTTGTCTCTGTTGGGGAGTTATTTAAATATACTTTTGAAAGCCCAACACACAATTATGTTGAGTAAACATTAAAATGGGAGTCCAATGAAGCATGCCTGTTGGTTGCCTTTAAAACTAGTTATAAATTAGAATTTTAGGAGTAATTTAACGTTTAAATACCAATGGTCTGTTTCACATACTAGGACTCCTCGTAATGATTTGTCAAAGGCAGAGAGTTCACCTGCTGCTCTGGGGTCACCAGAGAGGAGATGCAGAAGAGGGCTGTGCTGATGGGGTGTGTCAATCAGTGGGAGGGAAAATGTGCTCAGGGAGCTGGCCAACCAGCTGTACCCTAGTGACTCACCTGTTATAAAAAATGTATTCTTTATAACATGCAGGCTGTGCAAAGAACTACCAGCTTTAGTCTAGCTCGTTAGGCTCAGTGGATAGAGTGTGGGCCTGCGACTGAAGGGTCCCAGGTTCAAGGGCACATGCCTGGGTTGTAGGCTCAATCCCCGGTAGGGAGTGTGCAGGAGGCAGCCAATCAATGGTTCTCTCGCATCATTGATATTTCTCTCCCTCTCTCTCTGAAATCAATAATACATTTTTTAAAAATTTACCAGCTTTACAGTATTTTTTTCTTTCCAGATGCATCTTCTTTTGTCTAATCTTTACTATTCTAAGAGTTGAGAGTTTTTTCTTGTGGAGTTTTCAACTTAGCAGCATGTACATGAGACAGAAGTGGTCAGCACAGACTGTTCATCGAGGATGAGGGGTTTCTAAGACAGCTCTTGGGCTGAGGGCTGGCCAGGTCCCTGTTTCCTTGTCTATGGGGGATGGTAGCCATGAGGCTAGGGGTTTGCCACGATGAATAAAGAGGGTCACTCAACCCAGACACAAAACCCATCCAGGGAGGGGAGGCAAGGCTCCCCTGGGAGATCTCCGAGCTGGCTATTGAGGGATGAATGGAATAGCAGGAACTAGCCACATAAAAACATTGCAGTGGGGATCTGAATAGCATGTGCAGAAGAGGCCAACAGGTGCAAGAAAGCAGAGCTGAGAGCAGTGATTACGAGTGTCGGGGGCCTGGCACCGCCCTTCTGGACACCCTGCCTTCCTACTCCGATCAGGTTCTGTCAGCCCATCTGAACCCAGACCTCCCCTCCCTGCCGAGGCCTTCTGGGGCCAATACACACCGGACTTGTACATCAGGAAGTCTGAATACACGGAGAAGGCTGCCTCCACTGGGCCATTCTTGTAGATCTCTGCCATGATCTCCTTTTCGCTACTGGGGACGCTGTACGACTTGCATCCTAGCAAAGGAACCAGCAGGTGGGGTGAGACATGCCTCCAGAGGCTCCACAGCCAATTCACTGATTTACGGGGAGCCACCAGGTGAAGACTGAGCATCTAGGGGACTTGTCCAGTCTAGGGAAAGGTGGGGGGACACAGGAGGGGTGACTGTGATCAGGAACCCCCTTAGGGAGGAGTGATTGGGCTGAATCTGGAAGCTGAGAAGTGGGAGAATGTGGCCCCGAGGGCAGAGTGGGACTGGACCAGGAGGACTAGACCAGGTGACTCTCCTGTACGAGGGGTTTGATCCCCTCCATCTCTGAGGGTCTGACTCCTAAGACCACATCCCTGAGATGGAATTCGGGTAGAGACAGAAAACACAGCAGGCAGACAAGAGGCATTAGTGCCCTTCCTTGCTCCATCCTGTGTTCCTGTCTCTGGACTCAGTTGCCCTGGCCTCTTCCTTTGGCTTGGGAAGGCTGTCAGTGGGTCTTAGGCTCAGTGTGCTTACCGTAGTGTTTATCTTCTTTGTAGGATGGGGTGTAGCCTGGCTCACAGATCTTGCTGCATGAAGGGGTTTCCCCTCCTTCCCCTGAGCATGAGGGCCGAGAGCCATTCACGTGGTGCTCACAGGGAGGGATGGAGTAGGGTCTGCAACCTGGGGGGACCAAGTAGAAAGGAAGGTCTTGGCCAACAGCCCCTACAGAGGCCTTTCGAGGCCAGAAAGAATTGGGATGATGACTTGCAGGAACAGTAGATACCCCCAAGTCTGCAGCCTGGGTCTGTTCTCCCCTCCATTGCTAATTTTGCCAACGAGAGGATTGGCCTGTCTTTCTACCCTGTTTTCCAGCCCAGTACTCTCGCCCTCAACCCTCAATCTTCTTTAGAGTGGAAACTGAGACCATCATTAGTTATTGCTTATAAAAATCCATCTGGCTAGATAGGGACTCAGGGCAGACACTCACCTACGTGGGAGTCATAGAGGCCACCAGACACCAGGCCTTTTTTTGTCCAGAAGTTCCAAGCGCCAGAGGGAAAGCCCCCATTACAGCTAAGAAAAGAGCCATTCATTGAAAGTCATCGTGAGACAGGTGCTCACTGCTCCCAGACTACTGCCTGGTGGAGCCACCACTGCCTTCAGCAAGCGGCCCAGCAGACCCCCAATTCAACATCTCCTGGATTGTCCCTTCCAGGGACTCACCCAAGCTCTCCGCCCCAACCACCAAGACTCTCAAGAAGACAGAAGGACACCCAGATTCCTGTCTATACCAAACCAGGTTGTGTCCTTTCTAGAGCAGGGATTCTCAATGAGGGAGCACACCAAATATCCCAGGGTACTAAGCAAAACACCAATGTCAGAAATTCAAACTTAACTGGTGTGGACACACCTTTTTCTTTTTAGAGGGCCGCCCACTAGGCACTGTGACCTATCTGGGGAATCATTATCATTAACTACAGATAAAGATACGGGTCTTGAGGCTACTACATTGCCTTGAGCAGAAAAATCAGACCTGAAATCAGAAATTGAACCACAAATTCTGAGCCCATCTGTTTTGCCCAGACCCCATCACCCACAGCCAGCCATGTTGGGCCAGCCTGGGTTTAGGAGCCTTCCAGAAAACAACAGCCATACTGCTTCCAGACTCCCCAGATTCCACAGCGCCTCGACCACACCTGTCCTCAATGTACCACTTCCTCCAGGGAGTGTCAGTCACCCTCCAGTGAGAAGGCCTCAGCCCAGGTTTCCCAGGTGCCATTCCCTCATGGAAGGTGCTGCCTCAGACTCACCCTTCTCCACACTGGAAGCCACAGCAGGTGAGCAGGTCCTCGGCAGACACCTCCACGTTGACATGCCCATTGGTAAGGATGCAGATCCGGTCAGAAATGGCTTCCACAGCTCCAAATGCCTGCAGAAACAATTCCTACCCAGGTAAGCCTCACCTCTGGACTTTGGAAGGCCGCAGTGGGCACCCCAGAACTCCTGGACTAGTCTTTTTCAGCATCGGGCAAGGGTCCTGGCACTCAAACTTAGCTTTAAAGCTCCTTTAATCCTCCCCTGGGTACTCAGTACATTTCTGAAATATGTAGTTTTGATTTTTAACATCAAAAAGCAGCTCACTCTTGCCCAAGTGGTGTGGCTAAGTGGTTGAGCACTGACCTATGAACCAGCAGATTCCAGGTCAGGGCACATGTCCAAGTTGTGGACTCAATCCTCGGTAGGGGGCATGCAGGAGGCATGCAGGAGGCAGCCAATTGATGATTTCTTTCCTCACTGATGTTTCTATCTCTCCCTTTCCCTTCCTTTCTAAAGTCAATTTAAAAATATTTAAAAATAATAATCCATATTATTCTCTTTAAAAAAAAAAAAAAATCCAGCAAGGTTACCCCAAGATGGGGGAAATAAAGAGCTTCCCAGACCAAAAAAAAAAGGCTAAAGGAGTTTGTCAACACCAAACCAGCATTGCAAGAAACACTAAAGGGACTGCTGTAATGAGAAGAAGAGACAGAGAGAAACGTAGGCATAAAGAATTAAAATGGCAATAAGTAAAATGTAAATGGATTAAATGCTCCAATCAATAGACTTAGGTTAGTTGAATAGATACAAAAACATGGCCCAAATATAGCTGTCTACAAGAGACTTCAGAAAAAAGACTCACAAAGGATGAGAGTGAAGCAATGGAAAAAAAATTCCATGCAAATGGAAACAAAAAAAGCTGGGATAGCAATACTCATATCTGACAAAATAGACTTCAAAATGAAGGCCATCACAAGAGACAATAAAGGTAATACTAAGAGGATTGATCCAATAAGAGGATATAACACTGGTCAACATATATGTACCCAGTATATGAGCACCTAAATATATTAAAACTTCTGGAGGACTTTAAGAGATATTGACAGCACTATAGTCATAGTAGGGGACTTTAACACCCTGCTAACTTCACTGGATAGATCTTCCAGACAAAATCAAGGAAACAGTGACTCTAAAGGACACATTGGATCAAATGAATTTGACATTTATAGAACATTTCACCCCAAAGTTGCAGAATATACCTTCTTAAGTGCACTTGGGTTGTTCTCCAAAACAGAACACATGTTAGAACACAAAACAAGTCTCTACAAGTTCAAGAAGACTGAAATCATTATCAAGCATATTCTCAGATTGTAATGGAATGAAATTAGAAATTAACTACAGCCCAGCTAGTATGGGTCAATGGTTGAGTGTCAACCTCAACATAATAAAAACCATATATGACAAACTTACAACCAACATCATATTCAATGGGTGAAAACTAAAACCATTTCCCCTAAGACAAGAAACAAGGCGGGTGTCCACTTTCACCACTCTTATTCAAACTAGAGCCCTGATGCACAAAATTCTGTAGGAGTGGGCCCAAATGCCCATCAGGAGATGAATGGGTAAAAAAAGCTGTGGTATATTAATACCGTGGAAAAGAAGAATCTCTTAACCCTTTGAGACAGCATGGAGGGACTTGGAGAATATTATGCTAAGTGAAATAAGCTAGCCAGAGAAAGACAAGTATCACATGATCTCCCTCATACGTGTAATCTAATGAACAGAGTAAACTGTTGAACAAAGAAGATCCAGAGACACAGAAGCATGGAACAGACTGTCAGATCTCAGATGGAAGGTGGGGCTCAGTGGGTAGGTGGGAAGAGATCAACCAAAGAACTTGTATGCATATATGCATAGCCCATGGACACAGACAATAAGAGTGGTTGGAGGCTTCAGGTGGGGGGTGGGTGTAGGCTATGGAGGGGGAACATACTAATAGTTTCAACCACAAAGATTTAAATAAAAAATAATAAACACAGCTCAAAGGTCAAACTTTCTATGATTTCACTTCTATGAGGTATCCAGACTAGTCATAATCATAGTAGAAAGTAGAAAGGTGGTTGTGGGAGCTAAGGGGAGGGCGGATAGGAGTTGCTAGTGTTTAATGGGGACAGAGTTTCAGTTTTGCAAGATGACAAGAGCTGTGTGGATGGATGGTGGTTGATGGCCGCACACTCTGAGCATACTTAATGCCACTGAACTATATACTGAAGAATGATTAAGCCCGGGCCTGGGGGGCAATGATAAGATATGTACACATATAATACCTTAATAAAAAAAATGAAAGAAAAAAAAAAAACCCCGGCCTGTTGGCTCAGCTGGTTGAAGCATCGTCCCATGCACCTAGAGGTGGCCGTTTGATTCCCAGTCAGGGCACAAACCCAGGTTGCAATTTCAATTCCCGGTCAGGGGAGTGCAGGAGCAATTGATGGATGTTTTTCACATTGATATTGCTCCCTCTCTCTCTAGCATATCCACCAGTGAGGATTAAAAAAAAAAAAAAAAAGCCCTAGCTGGTTTAGCTCAGTGGATAGAGCATCGGCCTGTGAATTGAAGGGTCCCAGGTTTCATTCCTGGTCAAGGGCACATGCCATGTTGCAGGCTTGATCCCAAGTAAGGGCGTGCAGGAGGCGGCCAATCAATGATTCTTTCATCATTGATGTTTCTCTCTCTCTCTCTCTCTCTCTCTCTCTCTCTCTCTCCCTCTCCCTTTGTCTCTGAAACCAATAAAAATATATTTTAAAAAAGAATGATTAAGATGGTTACATTTATAATGTGTATTTTACCACAGTTAAAAAAAAATTAAGACATGTTAAAATATGTACACAGATAATAATTTAATAAAAAAAAGTAAAAGAAAAAATAAATAAATAAAATTTGCTAAGCATTGCTTCTCTTAAAAAAAAAAAAATTAAGACAGCTCACTGGGTCTTCATGATATAGAGTGGAGGTCAAAACATAGTACTGGGGGTGGGGGAAAAAACAACAACAAAAAAAACCTAATGGTATTGCTGATGGCTCAGGACAGCAGGTCAAACAGAAATAAAAACATTTCACAACCCACACATGGTCGTTGCCTGTGCACAGGGCTTTATACATTTTTTTTAAAAAATATATTTTTATTGATTTTTAGAGAGGAAGGGAGAGGGAGAAAAACATCAATGAGAATCATGTGATTGGCTGCCTTCTGCATGCCCCCTATGGGGGCGGGGAGGGGGGGGGGTGTGTCAAGCCTGCAACCTAGTAGGCATATGCCCTGACTAGGAATTGAACTGAGATCTCCTGGTTCATAGGTTAATACTCAACCACTGAGCCACACAGCCTGGGCTATACAATTTTTCTCCCACCTAGCCTCTGTAATAAGTCATGATCAGTTGGTTTTTTTTTTTTTAATTATTATGTTTAAACTGCTGGAGATTGAGACTCAGGAAAGTTATGTAATGTGCCCAGTCATAGCTGGTCCAACTCAGACTTCCCTGGTCACTCCCAGGGCCCCCCTCCACCACCACCCCTGCTCCAGCCACTCAGGACAGCAGGGCCTCACCCAGCAGGAGCCACAGGAACCCTGGTCTCTGATCTCCCCGATGGTTGGGCAGTTCGGCCACTGTTCCCGGGCGTCAAAGTTTTCAGGCAGAGTTAGGTCCTCAGCAAGCCACACTCTGGATAAAGGAAGGTCTCCATTACAAACCTGCGTCTTACCACCTGTGCTGCTCACCCCACCCCATCCCTGCAAAGGCCAGCTGCCTCCCCAAGAAAGGGAGTGCGGCCCCTTTCAACGTATAGAAGAGAATGTCCTCTTGGAAGTTTAGAAAGTAAAACCTGATCCTATTGCTTAACACAACTTACCATCCCACAGCCTTCTTTCTCGACATATTTTGTGGATGTTTTAGCCACAGGGTCCAGATAATTGTGTTTCTTGCCTCCCCCGCCCCAGCCCCAATCATACATCTGCCCTGGCTCCTCACCTCATCATTTTTAATATCTTTGCCGCTGTGTGATGTTACATACCTTCCCTAACCCACCCTCACTGTCAAGATTTATTTAATGCTTCCTACAAGAGTAATAATGCCTACACGAAACTGTCTAGAAAAGTAAAACATCAAGGGCAGATCACACCTCTTTTCCCAGAATTTCCTTATTCAAGATTGGGCCCACCTTGCTTGTGGAGACCCCAACGTGGAGCTTTTCCCACCCAGAGAAGCACGTGGGAAACACTGGCATTAGGGGCTGAGCCCTGCCCTCAAACAGAGTCTCTGAGATAGGAGACCTGAGATCCCAGGGAGGCCTTCTCTCTTTCCTCTTTCCCACTGTCCCAAACCAGCGCCCACTACTCAGGCCCCAGGGAGCAGGTACTCACTTCTCGGGCAGCTTGGGCCCGCCCAGTTTGGTGCCACACAGAGTCTTCACGTAGCTCATGTCCACGTTGCGGAAGTTGTGTCCGGCCTGGAAGACACCCCATCCCAACAGTCACCTACCAACAGAGGGGGTGTTTCTGGGGACAGCAGGGATAAGAATGGGACGCTGCTCACATTCAAGGTCGGACAAGGCCCGGGGTCCCTCCCAACTCAGCAGAGGATGGGGGCTGCTCTACCTCTACAGACCAAATTTCCCCAAAATTCATGCTGAAGCCTAACCTGCAATGTGCCGATATCTGGCGGTGAGCCTCTGGAACGTGCTCAGGTGGTGAGGATGGAGTTCTTATGCAGGGGATTAGTGCCCAGATAAAGGAACCACCAGAGAGCTCCCCTGCCCCGCCCACCATGTGAAGGTAGCGAGAGAAGCCCGCCATCTACCAGCTGGAAGAGAGCCCTCACTAGAACCTGCCCCTGCTGGCACCTGGATCCTGTACTTCCAGACTCCAGAACTATGAGCAATTAATTTGTTTATAAGCCACCCAATGTGTGGCGTCTGCAGCAGCCTGAATAGTCTAAGACGGGCTCCTTGTAGAGCAGGCCTGGACCAGCCCAAGGGGCCTGTGGGCAGCGTGCAGCTCTCAGACCAGTGTGGGGGGAGGGGGTCTCCTCTTTTTGGCTCATGCCAAGGGAGGCCCTGAAGATGGCCTATTCCTCATTTGTTTGTTCCCAAAGTCCCGGGCCTCAGGGCTGGGCAGAACCAAGGAGCTGCTAGTACTGATGCCACAATACCTACCACAATGGAGCTCAGTTAGGGACACTTCCAAAGCCCGCCTACCTCCCCATGCACCTCCAACAAGCTTACACACACACACACACACACACACACACACACACACACACGGAAGCGGGGCAGGGAGGAAGTGGGCATGGTCTGGAGCAGCCATGTCTCTGGATCAGATTTTCAGCTGTCCTGTGGGCCACCCCTGCTGGGGGTTGGAGTGCCCAGACCCACCACCCTCGGGAGGGACACGTGCAGGAAACGGCCCCCACAGCCCACCTTCCATGTAGAGTTCCGCTTATTCAGATAGTGGACCAGCTCATCGGACAGGGGCTGCAGGCCGGGCCTGCTCCACGCACTGGTCAGCACCACCAGGCAGCTGAGGGTGGCCAAGAGCCGCCACATTTTGGAACCCGGATCCTAGCTCCACCTAGAAAGGAAAGGACACAAGACATCAGAGGCTGCTCCTCCTCCACCCAGGCCCACACACAGCAAGGTCCTGGGGCCGGGAACAACCCAGTGGATAAAACCTATGTCTTTGCCCCGGCTGCCCCTTGTCCCCTTCTGTTCCTGATTCCTTTTCTGTCAAGTCGGGGTGGGCAGCAGAGAACTCTCAAGGACCCACAGTGCCTGTGGGCTCCTGGGTTCTGGTCTCAAGGTCCCGACCTGCACCTGTAGCCCACAAGAGCGTGCTATGGTCTGTTTGTGTCACCCCCAAGTTCTGACCCCCTATGTGGTGGTATTAGGACATGGGGCCATTGGTAGGTGATTAGGTAATGAGTGTGGAGCCCTCAAAGCAGGATCAGCGCTTTTATAAGAGAGACCCCGGAGAGATAGATCTCTCGCTCCTTCCGCTATGTGAAGACACAGCGAGAAGTCTGTGTCCTGGAAGTTTGCCCTCATGAACTTGGACTTTCAGCCTCGAGGCTGTGAGGAATAAATGTCTGTTTAGAAGTCATCCTGTCTGTCATCTTCTGTTGGAGCCGCCTGAATGGGCTAAGACAGACCACATGCGCATCGCCTGCAGGGGGCTGGAGCCAGGACAGAGAAAGCGGAGGGGCAGCCGAGGCCTGGGATGTGTACTGCCTGGGTCTCCAGGGCGATCAGTTAAGAGCCAAGGACGAAGCTCACAGACTGAAATGGTGCTGCTCACTGGATGGCTTGTGGCCCAGACTATCTTGAGCTGTGAGCTGTGAGGACCAGGGCTGACCTGCTGTTCTGGCAAAACCCCAGGGCCCAGGCAACAAGCAGGATCAACGATAGTCTGTCCTACACGAATGAATACATCTACATCTCCAGACTAACGTGAGTTCAGTGCCCTCTGTCTCGCCATGGATTTGTAGGACAAAGTTGAGGCCTTTCCCAAGTTAGTGCTCCGAAAGAGTAAACAGCCTGTCCGTGTGATTATGTCGCAAGTGGGGGGGGAGGGGGAAAGCAAAAAAAAAAAAAAAAAAAAAGCAAAACAAAACAGATTTCATGAGTCACAATTTGGAAGCAAAACATAAGCTTTGCTATGGCCGGTGCCAATCTCCGGAGAACAGGAAAGCAGGGCTGGTTTGGCCAGTGGCATGGCACTAGTCTCCTGGGATTTTCTCCGGGTTTTCAGGTCAGCCAAGGCCTCTGCTTCCGGTGCCAGGGATGGGCTTCCAGGAAGGGAATCCTCCACACCCCAACTCGGCCCTTAGACTTGGGACTGGCTAGTGAGTCAGCAGACAGAGATTCCCAGCTCAGCCTTGGCATCATGCTGTCAGCTCCATGAAAATAAGAAATGCATCCTGATGCCACACGACCTCCCAGCCTGTGAAATGCAAATGCCCACATAGCGGGGACTGAGTGTGTCTGTGTGTGTGTGTTGGGCGGATTTCCTGTCCCCGAAATGACCCACCTCCTCACAGGTCACAGGTGACTGAGAGTTACATGAAGATGACATGTCTTAGGTGACAGCCCTTAAAACACTGCCTCCCACACAGTGAATTGTATCTGAGGGAATATTTAAACTTAACTGTTGCTTAAGCAACAATTCATCTGGAAGAATAAATGCGTAAGAATAGCTGGAAGGGGGGGAAGGATAGCATGACATTTGGGGGGAGGGGGGGGAAGAAAGCAAGAATGAAGACCTGGCCCTCGTGGTAGTAGATGTATTATAACCACCATATGATGCTGGCCCAGGACCAATCTGATCTACAAAACTGACAGACCATTCAGAAGCATATCCTGTGTGAGAATTTCATGCATGTGGTAGAGGAGAGTGAGGAAATTGTGTATTTCAAGAGATGATGCTTATACAGCTGGCTACGCACTCTGAAGGGGAAAAAAAATAAGGCTGAATCTTTATACTTGATTTCTTGCACACACAAAGTGCTACATGGAACAAAGACATTGAATAAAAACACCAAAGCTATAGGAAGAAAATAAATGCACTTGACAAAAATGTAATATTGGAGTGAGAAATGCCTAAGATTGACATAAAACAGAACCTTAAAAGGGAAAATGTTTAATTACATGAAAATATTCTTCTAGGAAAATCAAGTAGTAAGCGAACATAAATTAGTGCTTATATATACTTAAGACTTTGTTTTCTTATTTTCCAAAGGGCTCTTAAAATCAGAATAGAAACAATGTAATAGAGAAATGGTAGAAGAACATACACACTGAATTTACAGAAAAAGAACTACAGCCTGGCCGGTGTGGCTCAGTGGTTGAGTGTCGACCTATGAACCAGAAGGTCACAGTTCAATTCCCGGTCAGGGCACATACCAAGGTTGTGGGCTCAATCCCCATTGTGGGATGTGTAGAAGGCAACCGGATCAATGATTCTCTCTCATCATTGATGTTTCCATTTCTCTCTCTCTCTCTCTCTCTACCTTCCTCTCTGAAATTAATACTTTTTTAAAAAGGAAAAAACTACAAATGGCCAACAAATATTAAAAAAGATGCTCAAATCAACCGAAGGACTTGTATACATGCATATAAGTACAACCAATGGACACAAAACTCTGGGGAGGGAGGGTATCTACGGGGGGGGGGGGGGGGGCATTGGTATATGTACAAAAATAATAATTTAATAAAAAATATATATTATAAAAATAAATAAACAAATAAAAAGATGCTCAACCATAGGCAGCTATAGATAAAATTAAGGAGATATTTATTTTCAACCAGAGTGGCAAAGGCGGGACAGTCTAATACAGTGGTTCTCAACATTTCTAATGCCGAAACCCTTTAATATAGTTCCTCATGTTGTGGTGATCCCCAACCATAAAATTATTTTTGTTGCTCCTCCATAACTGTAATTTTGATACTGTTAATGATTCATAATGTAAATATCTGTGTTTTCCAATGGTCTTAGGCTCTACAGCAGCGGTTCTCAACAGGTATTTACAAATAATGTTATGGTTGGGGTCACCACAACATGAGGAACTGCATTAAAGGATGGCGCATTAGAAAGGTTGAGAACCACTGGGATAGTTCTCGATGGGGGCAGGATGTGTGCTAGATGTGGGGAAGCAGAGATGTCACACTGCCCTGTGGAAGGGACCGTCTCTATCAACCTTCTCATTTGCATGCCCTCTGACTCAGCAACCTGACATTTAGATTTATACCAGCCTCAAAACACAAAGATACAGGTATACAGATGTTTCCGACATGTTCTCTGTATTAGCAGAAGACCAGAAACCAAGCAAAGTACTTGTTAAGTTACCGTAAATGGTGAAATAATAGACTACAAAGCAGCCTGTAAGAGATGAATTAGTTGAAGTGAATCATACTTACCGTTAAAGTAACTATGCCCAATACCGCAGGTGAGTCATGGTAATGTAAGTGCACAAACCCATTAAGCAATGTCCAAGTATATTCCTGCCTCTACATGTTAAGCATCAAGAGAAACACACAAAAGTAATAACTAATTGCAAAGGGGGAACTTATTTTAACTATACATCCTTTAAAATATATATATTTTGTATATTTATTTTTTAATAAATATATATATATATTTGAAACTTTGCTCTTTTAGGAAGAATGGTTAGGGCAACCAAAGACCCCATGCCACTAAACTGAGGAAAGAACATTTATTTATTTTTTAAATCTATATTTTTAAATTTATTGCAGAGATGAAGGAAGAGGGAGAGGGGGAGAGAAACAGAAACATCAGTGATGAGAGAGAGAATCACTGATTGGCTGCTTCCTGCCATGTCCCCTTGCTGGGGATTGAGCCCGCAACCTGGACATGTGCCCTGACCCGGAAACAAACTGGTGACCTCTCAGTGCATAGACGAAGGCTCAACCAACTGAGCCACCCCAGCCAGGACATTGGTCTCTACGGGCCCCCAGATGCAATCATCTCCCCAGACTCCAATGGGATTTCCTCCCTAGGGACTTCCTGCTCAAAACTCTTGACTTTCCCACTTTCAGTGACTCATGGGCAGGCTGCCACTCACATGACCCCATGTCAGGGACCCACGCAATCTCCAAAACTTAGATCAATGTCTCACTGTGGCCTCACATGGCGAAGGGGGCAAAGGGCAACCGGGGAGCAGAGCAGTCGTCAGAGGAAAACCTAGGGCAGGAGGCAGTCCCAGGGGACGGCTCCCTAAATGGCAACAGGAGTGTTCCCAGGTGCCCCCGGGGCTCAGCTCCCAGAGACGTTAACTCATAAGCAAGTGGAGAATGGGAGCGCTTCCAGGCAACACAGATATTAAAGCAGTATTCCTCTCGGGCCTGTGGTAGGAGGCACCTCCCACCTTCCAGATGGTTCTCAGCTCCTGCACTGACAACTTCCATGGCCGTCCCCCAGCCTGAGCTGGGAGTCCTGCCAGGCCCCAGCTCTCCTGCTCCACCTGTCTTCCATGCACTCACCCTGCTGAGTCCTTTGGTTCCATATTTCCTGCCAACTTTGTTCTCCTCCCTTAAAACTTCAGTGGAGAACCAGGGTGTCCTCCTGTGAACTAAGGACCTCTGACCACCGACTCCCGGCCCTTCCTTTCAGCCCAGCACCCCAGGCATTAGAGGAGAGGCTGGGCTGGAGACCCAGGGGTCAACAGCCACCTTCGCCAGCAGTGAGGGTGGGCATGGGCTTGGAGTCAGGGGACCTGGATTCCACACTTGGCTTTTCCACTCACTAGCTGTGCAGCCTGGAGCACCAACCTTTGTGAGCCTGTTCCAGCCCCTGTAACATGGAGCTCATGGCCACTGATTTCTCCGGAGTGTAAGGAGCTGGGCCGAGACCCCTGGCACAGCGGTTGCCCTCCCGCGAGAAGGCAACATGGGGCTGCTCCTTTGGGCATGCTCAGTTCCCAGGTCAGATGCACCACCCTCTGCCTGCCCTCCGTCTTCTTTCCTCCACCGACAGCCTCTGCCAGAGAATCCCAGTCCGCTCCTCCAAATGGTCTTCCTTTCTGAGGGTCCTG